TTAAAAAAAAAGTTCAATTTTACACTTTATCTAGAGTGCCTCTGTATAGCACAGGGAAAACTGCTCAATATTCTGTATTAACCTAAATAGGGAAAGAATTTGAAAAAAATAGATACAAGTATACACACACACACACATATATAACTGAATGACTTGGCTGTACACCTGAAACTAATACAACATTGCTAATCGACTATGCTCCAATATATAATAATAAACAAAAAAAAAAGAGTAGCTCTGAAAAGAATAGGAACAAAAGACAAAAATGGCATTCAAGACATTTTAAAATATTACATAGGTCAAACTAGTTGCTTGCTTATATTTATTAATCTAATGAATACTAAAAAAAAAACAGCTGAATACATGTGTAATCAAAGAAGAGGTAAATTCAAAATAAAGGTCCTTGAGGCTCAAACCAAAGTAGCTCCCAAGGCTGAATCTGGCCTCCTGGGTTTTCTTTTACAGTCAACTGTTATAAGTGTTCCTATACCAATCTTAAAGTGTCCTGTTTTAATCACAGCAGCCGCTAACACTGATCCTGAAAGAAAATTAACTCTTCAGATGGGAGATTTCCTACAGTCTGCACAGTCTCTCTGGGCTTCATCCAAGATAGATGAACTATGCTCCACTGTGGCCTCCTTACAGGCTTTCAAAGCACAATGGAAAATGGTTTTCTAACATATTTGTACCATGCAAGGGCTCCTGTGGAGAGTTCCATTTCTGGATATAAACTAGAAATTGCTGTAATTTTTTCATTCCTTTTTAATTTGCAGTTACCTGAAATATGACAACAACAAGAGAAATAACAATCATGCAGGTGTCCATGGCTAACACACAGGGACATCACTTGTGTAAAGCATAAAACAAGAAAAACCTCTTTAAACGAATCCAATCTTTCTGCAACAATTAGCCTTTTGAAAAATCAAAATGATCACCAATACATTTAGAAAAAGGAATCTTTTAAACACTCTTCTGTAAACTAAATATACCTGAGGCTAAAGAAGGATAAAGAAACACTCAACAAGGACTTTCCTCACAGTCAAGTGTTAAGACTATGCTCCCAATACAGGGGGCATGGGTTCGATCCCTGGCCAGAGAACTAAGATCCCACATGAGGCACAGCCGGAAAAAAAAAAAAAAACACTCAGCAAATGCAAAAGATAAATTTCAACTCTTTTACTGCTGGATTACTTAAAATATAAACACCAGTTAATAAAAAATTTTAAAAACTTTTTTTTTTTTTAAGCTGTGCCACGCAGCTTATAGGACCTTAGTTCCCCAACCAGGGGTTGAACCCAGGTCCTTGACAGTGAAAGCAGGCATCTTAGCCACTGGACCACTAAGGAATTCCCAAGAAAATATTCTTATAGTCTCCTATAACATATAATAACAATCCTACAATCTAATGATAACCATGTCTAACATCTGCTGAGTTCTTACTATGTTCCAAGAACCATGCTAAGCTCTTTATATCACAGACTTGTTTTTGCCAGCTAAGCATTCATTCCCCCCTTCCAATTACAGTATCCCCTTTTTCCTTCCCCACTCAAACTGGTCATGGTGAGCTGATCGATTGATCATAGTTGTACCATCTCCAAACCGACTCTAAACTGGACATTTAGAGAACTACATTCCCTCGAGCACAGCAGTCAGTTCAGAAAAGCTCCCAGTGCAAGAAAGGTCAATCAAATTTCATAAACAAAGGTTTGCAGTCCAAAGTCCCCCTTCCTTTAAAGATTTAAACCTGTGACTATCTGGAGCCATCAACATGTTTCCCAATCACTAGGAGGAAATCTGTCTGAATGCAACCAAAACACTGAAAGATGCTAAAAGTCTGTGCCACGCAGCTTATAGGACCTTAGTTCCCCAACCAGGGGTTGAACCCAGGTCCTTGACAGTGAAAGCAGGCATCTTAGCCACTGGACCACTAAGGAATTCCCAAGAAAATATTCTTATAGTCTCCTATAATATATAATAACAATCCTACAATCTAATGATAACCATGTCTAACATCTGCTGAGTTCTCACTATGTTCCAAGAACCATGCTAAGCTCTTTATATCACAGACTTGTTTTTGCCAGCTAAGCATTCATTCCCCCCTTCCAATTACAGTATCCCCTTTTTCCTTCCCCACTCAAACTGGTCATGGTGAGCTGATCAATTGATCATAGTTGTACCATCTCCAAACTGACTCTAAACTGGACATTTAGAGAACTACATTCCCTCGAGCACAGCAGTCAGTTCAGAAAAGCTCCCAGTGCAAGAAAGGCCAATCAAATTTCATAAACAAAGGTTTGCAGTCCAAAGTCCCCCTTCCTTTAAAGATTTAAACCTGTGACTATCTGGAGCCATCAACATGTTTCCCAATCACTAGGAGGAAATCTGTCTGAATGCAACCAAAACACTGAAAGATGCTAAAAGATGGAGAAACTGAACCCCTGGAACAAGCAGGGCCCTTGAATGTGCTTGTTACATGAGATAATGAATTTCCCTTTGCTTCAGCTGATTAGAGTAGGGTACCATTACTAGCAATTAAGAATGGTCTAGTTAGAACACACACCTACAACTAACCCATGCAGTCACATGGGTCTACACTACTCATGAACCCACAGCTGGGGTTCCTCTCGGCTACTCATGAACCCGCAGCTGGCTCCAACCTCTGCTGCTGGCCCTGTCTCTCATCACTGTGTGTGTGTCTACAGCAGGCCCCAGCCCCCACACAGGAATCTGCAGCTGGCCCCTACTGCCAAGCATGTGCACACCACCAGATTCTGACCACCACTGCTACCTGAACCGGAACCTAGGCACCAGAGACCTAAAGGCACCACTGAGTACCTCAACAGTCCTTGCAGCTACTGCAGATCCCTCACAGGTCTCCCCAAGAATCATGCATTATCGATGTGGTGGACCCGTACCTGAGCCAACAAGTCACACACCCTTGAACCCTGAGGTTCTACTCACACCCACAATTAACACCCACACCACTAGAGCCACAGCCATAGCACACTCCAGACTGCACTCACAAGTGAAGGTGTTTATTTTTTTCTGAAGTCAGTCCAGAAAGTCTCGAAGAGGTGACTGCTTCTTCAAATGCATGTGCATGGCTATAGGGAACACAAGAAATCAGGGAAACAGGACACCACCAAAGAAAATGGTGAACTTTCAGCACCCCTGCAAGGATGTGTGAACTCCAGCAATGAATACAGCTTAGACTAAAGGTGGCATATCTTCTAACTTTTTCTTCCAAATCTAATAAGATGATAAACAGAGGATGCAGAGTTCAAAGTATTGCTGCCATGATCGCAGGACTATTATTCCATTTTCTGGACATGACAAAAATAAGAACTCTTTCAAGATACTAAGGTCTCTGGGAGTTATCTCCCTAGATTGAAAGACAAAGGTGAAATAAGTGACAGATTGAATGAGACAGTGGCATAGGAATTTCTAGCACTCATCCTCTCCCGGAAACATCAATTGGAACAACCATCCACATGCAAAAATAACTTCACAAGCACTAAGAACGTCAGATAAGGGATTACAGTACCTAATCCAATTTAAAATGGGCAGAGGACCTGAATACAGATTTTTTTAAAAGACATACAAATGACCAACAGGTACATGAAAAGATGCTCATCACCATTAATCATCAGGGAAATGCAAATCAAAACCATAATGAGCTATCGCCTTATGCCTGTTAGAATGGCTATTATCAAAAAGACAGGAGATAAGAAGCATTAGTGAGGATATGGAAAAAGGGGAACCCTTGTGTACTCTTAGTGGGAATGTAAATTGATATATCCACTATGGAAAAGAGTATGAAAGTTCCTTAAAAAAAAAAAAAAAACTACAAATAGAACCACCATATGATTCAGCAACCCCACTTTCAAAGGAAATGAAATTACTATCTCAAAGAGATGTCTGAACCCCCATGTTCAATGTAGTATTATTCACAATGGCCAAGACATGGATACAACCTAAGTGTCAATAAAGAAAATGTGGTGTATATATACTCAGCTATAAAAAAGAAGGAAATCCTGCCATTTGTAACAAAATGGGTGGATCTTGAGGGTATTAATACTAAGTGAAATGTCACACAGAAAGACAAATACTATATGATCTCTCTTATATGCAGAACTGAAAAAACTGGAATCCACAGAAATAGAGTAGAATAGCTAGTTGTTGCCAGAGGCTGGCAGTGGGGGAAATGTGAGTTGTTGGTCAAAGGGTACAAACTCCCAATTATAAAATGGAGAAATGGAGATCTAAGGTACAGTATGGTGACTACAGTTAATAATACTATAGTTAATACTATAGTTAATAATAACTATAGTTATTATATATTTGAAGTTGCTCTTAAATGTTCTTATCACAAAAAGAAAATGGTGATTATGTGAAATGATGCAAGTGTTAACTAACCTTATTGTGGTAATCATTTTGCAATATAAACATGTATCAAATCATCATATTGGACACCTTATACTTACATGTTACATATCAATTACATCTCAATAAATTTGAGAAATGAACTTAACACTAAAAAAGAGAGACATGGGGTAAGCGATTAAAAGGCACAAACTATTATTATAAAATAGGCTACAAAACTATACTATACACACAGGGAATATAGCCAATATTTTATATTAACTATAAATGGAGTATAACCTTTATAAATTGTGAATCACTATATCATACACCTATAACTTATATAATATGCCAACTATATGCCAATAAAAAATAAATAAAATTTTAAAAATTACATCTCTTTAAAAAATATAGAAAAACAGTTAAACGAAAATAAAATGTACTACACTTATGCTCTCATCAGAGCCTCTTAAAGTGAAGTCTAGAATTAAATGAACAAAAGAAAGTAGATTTCTTATGTCTTCTTCTACATTCCTCTGGATGAATTTAGCCCCTAGTGGGTACAAAATCAATTATTATTTCAAGTCAGTTTCATTAAAAAAGAAAAAGAAAAAAATAGGACATGAAAAATACCTTACTTATGGTTTCAAGCTGTCTTCTTACATCCTTTAAATAAGTTAGTCCAAAAACATGCTTCTTTTAGACTTCAATTCTTATGCCTAACCTGACACATAAGAAAAATTAAAATCAACCTTTGATCTTAAAAAATTAAGGGGAAAAACCCTTCCAAGATCTTTTTGTAACAGTTACATGTCTACCCCATGTTGAATAGCGTCATATAAAAGATGAAACAAGAACATCTACTTTGAACAAGGCACTAAACACCAGCAAGCAAGCTTTAACACATCACACAATGGAACTGACTTAAATTTCCTTAATTTAAAATTTCTATTATTTAAATTCTTAAGAAGTAGCAGCAATTATCTAACAGCCAAATCAAAACTATTAAAAGAAATGAGGAAAATCCAAAACAGTGTTCCCAAAAGTTGGAACAGTACATGAAATGAAAGTGAGAGGCAGGGCCCAGAAAGAATAGCAAAAGTTTGCAATCAATTATCCTCCAATCTTAAAAATTAAAAAAAGACTATCAAAAGCTTTCTTTTGGGAAGAAAGCTAAGGTTCAGAACAAAAGTCTCCTGGTCATTCTTCAGAGAGGTCAGGTTCTCTGGTGTTACAGGTAATTTGGAAGGTGCTTAAAAACAGGTTGTTATTATTCAGTCGCTGTGTAGTGTCCCACACTTTGCGACCCCATGAACTACACGGTCCATTGAATTCTCCAGGCCAGATTACTGGAGTGGGTAGCCCGTTACCTTCTCCAGGGGATCTTCTCAACCCCAGGGATGGAACCCAGGTCTCCCACATTGCAGGCGATTCTTTACCAACTGAGCCACCAGGGAAGCCCTCGAAACAGGACAAACAATAAATAATTCACGTTGTTGAAGTACTATTTTTGCTTACAGAAACAGCAACTCAAAAAGTTGACAGAAAACTAAAAAAAAAAAAAAAAATTGACAGAAAACTAGACTTGTATGGATTTTAAGTTTGCCTCCTTCCGCAAATAAGCTTAAACCTTCTTTTCCTACGTTTCCTCCTTTAGTCTGTTTTCTCTTTTCCAGCTAAATATGAAAACATATTCCCTTATGGCTTTCCAGCTTTTTTGGTCAATCTTTTTATAAGTTTTCATTCTTATAGCTCTTGTTAAATGGTAAGTAATATAAAGACAGATGGGAAAACATAGCCAGGTTGACTATTAGCTAAGAGTCCACAGCAAAGATTAAGAGGAAATTCTCCGACAATAAAATAATAATGAGATACATTACCAAACCTATTTTAAGGGAATGCCCTAATGCTAGAAATTCAAAGCTAGTTCCTCTAAGAAGCTCCTTTTAAGGATAAGGCAGGTGTGCTGCAGTCCATGGGGTCGCAAAGAGTCGCACACGACAGAGCGACTGAACAACCTCTAAGAAATTCTGGAGGATTTTGACTAGAATTGAAAGTGAACATTTTCTGAATGATGGAAACACTACTATTTACATTTTTTCCTCAGCATTTTCTGGTCTTCGGGTGGGGGAGGGGAGGGGAGCTAAGAAGATTCTGAGGTGAAAAGTCACAGCGGTGACAGTGCAGGGCAAACACCGGGAGGTCAACCTTTTTCAGTCTCTAGTGAGCTGTTAGCTTTCATGACCTGGGAAATTCTTAACCTATCACCCGAGCCAGGTCCCGCCTTCCCCAGCACTTCCCCTCCTCAAGGCTGGAGCAGGAGGGACACTACCAGTACGACGCGCGGGGCACTCTGGGAGCGGAAGAAGGAGTCGCGCGGCGGCGGCTCAGCCGGAAGAGGAGGAGCCAGGCCTGGATAGCCGAGAGTTACTGCCGCTCCGGCTGCCGGTGTTTGCGGGTCGCGGGGCGCAGGGCCTGGTGGGCGGGGTGTGTCGCGATGCTGGAGCTGGCGGTGCAGAAGGTGGTGGTCCACCCCCTGGTGCTGCTCAGTGTGGTGGATCATTTCAATCGGTGAGCGGGCGGCACGGGGCGGCCTGCCGGGGCCGGTGGCGCCGCCGCTGCTGAGTCACGGGCGCGCTGGGTACGGCGCGGCGGCCGCGGGGGTGCTGACGCACCGGGGGTGGCCTTGAGTCGCCGAGGGGCCCAGATTAAGTCCATTCATGAAGCCCAAGTTACCCGGAGTCTTCTGCCCAGCCGGCACTCCCGGGAGCTGAGCTGATCATTCCCTTTACCCACTCCGTACGATGCCAGAGTATGGGGAGCAGGTTTCATTTGATCCTGATCTCCAGTCCTCCTGCCCATCTATCGCCTCGTCCGTCCCTTTTCGCCTAAGAGACTCGATGTCTGGTAGGAAAGCCCTTCAGACTCGCGCTTTTTGGCTCTGAAGGCTGTCACCGAAAGTCTAGTCCCGAAGGGCTCCCTGCCAAGAACTGTGCTTTTAACTTGTGGAAGTTTCAGGAGTGGGAATCTGGTTTGACGATAGCTTAAAACGTAGCTATATTAAGTCTTAAAGTCAAGTTTTTCTTGTAAAAATGAGACCAGTTGGAGATGTAGGCGTTAATGAATAAGAAAACATCCCACAGATGTTTCTTCTGCCTTCGCTTGCTTGTTTTCGAGTTCTTCTTCTCGCGGGACCTGTTACACGTGTTCATAAGTTTTACAGTAGTTACTTGAATTGGAAAGTTGTAAGACCCAGTTGGGAGCATCTGCTATAAAGTCACTGTTGCTAAGTGCCCGTTCTCTTGCTTTATACAACTCCCAATTCAACCAGAGCCAAAACCAAACTCAAAGACTCCTGTGAGGTTTAGGGTCCTCAGTTTAGTTCCATTTCTTTGTAGGACCCTTAGCCTAACAAGATACCTGAGCTTTTCCACTGTACAATTACTGTTTTTCTCCCATAGGATACTAGAAGTGCTAAGAAGGCAGGAATCATTTCAGTTCTGTTCAGTCAATTAAACAAACATTTTTAAGGGCATAGTGAAGGCAGACACTGCAAGCTGCTGTATCAGACAATTGTAGGGTTTTCTGAAACACAAATTCATTTCTGTAGATTGGAAGAAAAACCCATGTGTGGAAATTTCCTTTGAACTTAGATTTCCCCAAAAAATCAGAATGCAGAATACTTAATTCTGATCCAAGCCCTAGACATAGTAAGCATTTATAAGTTTGCCAAATCATGTGTTTAGATAAGTACAGTTCAATCGGTGTGAACCACCAACTGTTAAGAAATTGTGGTTCATTTCACAGTGACTTTTGTCTGTCCTTTGAACATAGAATTGTTTGTTATGTCACATTTGTTAGTGGTTAAAGGAGAATTCTACATAAAAACCAATGAAATAAGTGAAACACTTGTCGTTCCTTAGCACAGAATTACTAAGGGGGTTTGGTTTGGAGATAGAAATTTGGAGAAATTTTTCTCGTTCACTGAGCCCTCCTCCCAGCTGATTAGTCACCAGCTCAGTTCCAGCTTCTGCCTCATTTAGCCATTCAGAGAGATGACCAATGACATACACACACTCCTGGGTCAGCACAATTTTCTCAGCCCCCAGATAACACACAGAATTGTGTACGCCATCTAGTTGGGCTTGTTTCAGAGAAGAGTTGGCAACCTGGACCGTAACACTGGTTCAACTTTAGCATCTTTATCCCTGAAAAGGTTGGAGGCTAGAGAACATAGAGAAAGTTTAAGAAAGAAAGGTAAGCTGTTATCAAAATAAAAAGTTAAATGTGTTTTCAAACACCAACCAGATAACATTTAAAACTGTAAGATCTGGGGAGTTTTCACTTTCTCCATTTTAGATTTCTATAAGGTTTGAGGGTTGTTTGTTTGTTTGTTTGTTTGTTTTAAGACTAACTACATTTGTTTAGTGGGGTCAGTTCCCAGCTAAGCTGAATTGTATCGGTGCATTGGTATTTCGTTTTAGGTATCTTCTTGTTGAGTCTGTGCCTATCCAGATTGATCTTTTGTTTTCTCATTCAGAATAGGCAAGGTTGGAAACCAAAAACGTGTTGTTGGTGTGCTTTTGGGGTCGTGGCAAAAGAAAGTACTCGATGTATCCAACAGTTTTGCAGGTAAAAGAAAAATCTGTCAATTATACCTCAGTTGTTTTTTTTATAATAGACAAATTATACATTTTCTGAGTATGATTAAAATGTCACTTAACTTTTAAAAAGAAAGAAAATTTCGTGGTCTCCATTTTTTTTATTGCAACAGGGAGGCTAAAGGCTACACACAGAAGTAGATAGTAAATATTTTTAAGTATTTTCAGGCCATGTGGTCTCCATTGCAACTGCTTAGCTCTGCCGATGTAGCAGGAAAGCAACTAAAAACAGTATGTAGACAAACTAATATCCATATTGCATAAAACTATTAAAATAGGCAGTGGGTATAGTTTGTCAACCCCTGCACTAAACTATTAAACGTGGTTACGCTAAGAGTCGGACACGACTGAGCGACTTCAGTTTTACTTTTCACTTTCATGCATTGGAGAAGGAAATGGCAACCCACTCCAGTATTCTTGCCTGGAGAATCCTAGAGACGGCGGAGCCTGGTGGGCTGCCGTCTATGGGGCCGCACAGAGTCGGACACGACTGAAGTGACTTAGCAGCGGCAGCGGTAACATGGGTAGGCAAGGGGGAGGTAAAAACCTTCTTTTCACTCTGTTTTGTGAATGTTCAGAAGAATGTATCTGTGTATTTTATGATTAAAGCAACAATAATGAACAACAAAATAATTGCTGGCATAGCTACTAGACTAGAGGTCACTAACTCCAGTGTCTAAAAGGATCAGGCAGTAATGTAATTTGCCCAACAGAAATACTAGGAAATGATGGCGCTTTTAGCAAACTGAAGAACATGTATCCTTTTCAATGGAGGTGACCTCTGTATGGCTATAGCCAGTTACTGCCAGGTCTTCCAATTTTTCAAGAGAGCCTGGAGGTCTAGATTTGTATGTGAAATCTTCCAGTTTTTAATAAAAACAACTCAAAAATACTTTTAATACTGTATTGGACAAGCTAAAGACATGGGTCAAATCTGGCCTAGAGGTCCCCAGTTGTGGTATATGCCCTTAAGAGTTCTTTCTATCTGGCACCCTAAACTGTTTTTTGGGGGTTTTTTTCCTCCTCTCTAGTTCCTTTTGATGAAGACGACAAAGATGATTCTGTCTGGTTTTTAGACCATGATTACTTGGAAAACATGTATGGAATGTTTAAGAAGGTCAACGGTAGGTGGCATTGTAGCACGGGTATATGTGTGTGAGGGGTGGTAATGTAAATGTACCTGTGTGTCCCTAATGCCTTTTATAAGTATTCACTTTTGTTTCTCTAATGTCAAAGACCCTTTCACTTAGCTAGACTAAAGTAAGGCCAGTGGTAGTAGACAAATGAGGTAGAATAAATGAGAAACTGGCGTAGCAATTTAAGGCCAGCTAGACCACCTAGGTTTCAGGGGAGAGAGAGCCCTCTGCAGCAGAAAAGCAAAAAGTTATCAAATAAAATCCACATGCCTCTAGAGCTTTAGTACCACCAAGGTAAATATCTCTTTCATGTCGATCATTTTCATTTCATTACAGCAGCCACATTGCTTTGGAAATGTTTATTCCCACAGCTCTCACTGTTGTAATCTATGTGAGATGAACTTGCATTTGTTTATATATTCCCTTGGAATTGTTTTCTAGTTGCTTCATGTATGACTGGTTTCCTAAACTAGTCTGAGATATAGCTCTCTCTAGATTTCTCCTGCTGTTTATTTTCAGAGATTCCTGCTTTTGAATTTAAGATTTCATAAGCATGTCAAGGTTTGGATGTCTGGAATTTTTGAAAAGGTAGAGAACATAACTACTGAAGTTCTTACCCTTTTTGAGGGAAATATATAGATCTTTATGTAACAGTTGAAAGCCACTATTTTTTTCCTTCATAGCCAGAGAAAGAATAGTTGGGTGGTACCACACAGGCCCTAAACTACACAAGAATGACATCGCCATCAATGAACTCATGAAAAGATACTGCCCTAACTCAGTAAGTGCATTTTATCTTTAAAACCCTTGACTGATAATTGTTTGCCAAAAACAAGAAAAAGAGCCTCCTAGTGGATAGTGAATCATTTCACCACTTTTTCTCTATAAACTTGTGTTAATTTGCAGTGCGTTTTGTAGTATACAATAACCCAATGTATTTAGTAAATTAAACATCTGCTCAGTGCTAAGTATGTAGGTTACCTTCCTTAATCCTCTCAACTGTATGGGATTGTTATCATTTTTACAAATGAGAAAATTGAGGTTCAGAATGGTTAGTAAGGTCTTCTGAGGGTGCAGCTAGGATTAAAACGCTGGCTGTCTTGACTCTTAATTTCCTTCTGCTTGATTCCTTCCTCACTATCTACCTTTCACCTTGTTAATGGATGGGGTTGAAGAGCAGAGCAAATGATAAGAAATTTGAAATGTAAAGTCTTTTTTTTTTCCCTGAAAATTCTGGCTCATCTGGTTAAATGAATGAAAAAGCTTCAGTAATCATTTTTCAGAATGGCTGCAGTTATTCCCTGTGTGCTTAGTACAAGGTGGTTTGCTAAGATGTGTTTTTCTGCCAGGTATTGGTCATCATTGATGTGAAGCCAAAGGACCTGGGACTGCCCACAGAAGCATATATTTCGGTGGAAGAAGTTCATGATGTAAGTCATCTTGTTATGAGCCTATTTAGAATTGCTACTTTTAGGGCCATTGGGTTTTTCCCCCATTTCAAGTCAACAAATACTTTATAACAAAAGGTTATTGATTTCTGTCAACAGTTTGATATTATGTTTTTTCCCCCTTGAGTGTTTGAGTCACCAAATTTTAGAAATGGAGAGGACCATAGCAATCTAAAATCTCCTTTTACAAATGAAATTGAGACCAAAGTAGTCAAATTATCACCCAGAGATGTTCTCAGCAGAGTAAATGCAGAGCCTGGTGAGCTTCATCTTAATGTAGTCCCATTTCCACTGTTGGCCCACCTCTGACAGTCTTCTCCTGGAAGTTACTAGGTTTTCAAATAGAGTAAGTCAGAACTGCCTGGAGCTAGATGGCAAAACCCATCTGTACAATTTGACACCTATATAGTTGGCTCCATTGTATTCAGTACCTGCTGTGTGGTCTTGCTAGCTTGTGCCTTGGGTATGGACAGGATAAGCTGCCTAGCTTTTCTCTATTTCCAGGAAACAGAATTGAATGCAGATTCTAGGATAAGATTTGTTGTGGAAACTATATGAGTTTTGTTTTGAGCATAAAGTATTTGCATTTAGGGTATACAAAGAGCTCAATCTTGAATTTCCAAAGTCAGAAGTCGGAGAGATGTAGAGTAAATATTGTCTTTCTTCTTATAGTTATCCAATTTTAAAATCTGGAAAAGGTTTTTTTAACTTAGCTTCCTGCAAATGTTCCTTGCCCTGAGCTCTGTGTGGGTTTCTCTTTGCCTTACTACTAGAGAACTTAGATCCAGATCTGTTGCATAGTTGCAGTAAAGCTTTCCTCCCTGGTCTTGATACAGTTGTTACAAGTTAAATTTTACCTTGCCTCTTTCAAAAAGGAGTTTGAGGCTGCTTGCGCACACACATGCATATGCATGCACACACACACACCCCCCAATGAAACAGGATTTTTTAATAGAAGATAGAGGGGATGTGAGGGTCATAGTATACGATGAAGCCAGGGAAAAAATCAGTACCTGAAAAGACATGCCATGAAGTCCTGCACAGGTGTTGGAAGGCTTTGACCATCCTAGCATACCAAGCCAAGAGGAAAATGTCATTTTCAGGATTCACACTATGCTGGATAAAATAACAACAGCTGATGTTTATACCACTTAGTGTAAGTGAAGTGACTCTCCCAAGATCGCACAGCTNATTAAAAAAGAAAAAAGAAAAATACTTACAGAACCCTGACTTGTTTGAAAGGTCATAGATTTTCTCAATAAGATTTGTTTCAGTTCAGAAAGTTGGTACTGACTGATTTAAAAGCATCTCAAAACATCTTATAGATGCAGGTGAAAAGAATGCTACCCTCTTTAGGAAAAAGAGAAATTGAAGTAGAGGGGGATTTTTTTTTAATTTTTAGTGAACATGATTTCATTTTAGCTCTCTTCTTTTGAAAGATGTCATGTGATGAGAAAGATAAAACATATGCTTCCAAATGAAAACAAGGTTAAGGCACTTTATACTCAAATCTTTATCAAACGGAGAAGTAACATTTTTGCTTTAGAAAACTTGCCCCTCCTCACAAACTGAGTTATTCCCTTAGAATGAGAAAATCTGTGTGATGGTATAGGACACTGATGGATACCTTTTCTTTGCTCTTTCTTGTGGGTTCCTACAGAGACATCAAAGACACTACAGTGGGCACTCTCTCCCAGCGGATCACAAACCAGGTCCATGGTCTGAAGGGACTCAACTCCAAGCTCCTAGACATCAGGGGCTACCTGGAGAAGGTGGCCACTGGCAAGCTGCCCATCAACCACCAGATCATCTACCAGCTGCAGGATGTCTTCAACCTGCTGCCAGATGTCAGCCTGCAGGAATTTGTCAAGGCCTTTTACCTGAAGACCAACGATCAGATGGTGGTGGTATATTTGGCCTCACTGATCCGTTCTGTGGTCGCCTTGCACAACCTCATCAACAACAAGATTGCCAACCGGGACGCAGAAAAGAAAGAAGGGCAAGAAAAGGAAGACAGCAAAAAGGATAGAAAAGATGACAAAGAGAAAGAGAAGGAAAAGAGTGATGTAAAGAAAGAAGAGAAAAAGGAGAAAAAATAAAACATGTAGCTTTTTAATTTGTAAATTAAAATCTTGTAAACTAACTCATTGTGCCGCCAGAGGGTTCTTTAAAGTGCTTGTTAAAAAGCTGTATTGATGAGAGCTCTCTGGATAGAGGGACTGATCTCGAACCTAAACTGCAGCTTCAGCTACTGTGCGTTGGGGAGGTGATAGCTCAGGTTTCAGACTGTGTGAGAAAAGTGAAGAGAAGTAAGCGTACTCCCCCTACTTTTATCTGTGAGACCAGGAGTTGAATTTTTCCCGTCTCAAGAGACTCTTGGGGTCTGTTTCTGGCAGTCTACAAAATTGCAGAATGGAATGCATGAATTCCATAAGTGCTCTGCCTTGGAACACTTTGAGGTCTGACCCTCAGGACTCTGAGAATACTGCCCCGCGGGACTTCTCAGACCCGTAGCTCTGGCATTCTCGGGGCTTGGGATCAAGATATTGTTTACCTTCAAAGAAACAATTAAATGGCTTGGTTTTTAAGTCTGTGTTCTGGTCGTTTTTAACTCTGGGAGTGGTGATCCATTATTTTCAGAAGCAACAAAGACAGTTTTTAATTGACAGTTTTTAATCCTTGAAGCTGCCTGAAAGAATTTTAGACTGGATCCTTTATGAAAAAGAGAATCTCATTCTTTTAAAAATAGAGCTGTAATGAGAGTTCCCAACTGGGCCCAGAAGACCTGGGTCATAGTTCATACCTCAGATTCCTCACTGGTGAAGTCCCTAGAGCAGTCTTTCTTAAGTTTTCATAAGGGACACATTTACTTACTATTGCAGTAGGTACATCAAACGACAAGGTCAGTGGGATGGAACAAAGCTTCCCAAAGTAAATAAAGGTACTTAATCATTTGACTTAATAGCTGTCACTTGGATACTAACTTCCTTTTTTGAGTAGTTAGAACCTCTCTAAGAGTTCTCTAATGTACTACATGGACTATCGGTGTTCAACTATTTAAGAATACAATAAAATAGCACTAAAATGAAGTTAGTGGAATCTCATAAACCACTTCTTAATGTTACAATGCCTCAAAGTTGCCAGAAGCATACATTTTTAATCAACAGACCTGCCTGCCAAAGAACGAGTTAGTGGAAATTTGGGGGTTGATTTTTATCTGACAGAAATAGAACTACCCAGGTCAGTGGTCACTTCAAAGTTCATTAAGATGCTGAGATAAAAAGAAATAGCAAAGGGAAGAAAACTAGAGAAGTTTTTTGTCTGTTGTGGCAGTCAAACATCAGATGGTTGTTCCCAGTACATCTAAGTAAAAGAAATTTGAAATACATAGTTCAAAGCTTGAGATGATGCATTTAAAATGACAAAGAGTGTGTTAACGTTTTTGAGATTTTGTTGCCATGTTTAGAACAGACTGGTGTGAGAAAGGGAACATTTCAGGGTAGGCAGCAAAGACAAGAGATGCCACGGCCCTGGGGCCAAGCAGGGGCAAGGAGAAAGTTATCCCAAAGAGTGAGTCCTTTATGTAGGGTGGGGGTGGGGTGGGGGCAACTCAAGACTACACAGGATCAGATCCACCTTTAGAAGAATGATCATTTAAAAAGCTTTCCCAGGGTCTAATAGGACAATGTCACAGGCTTTTAAGTTGTCACTGTTTGATAAATTGGAATGTCTTGAACATGTAAGAACATGGGAATACCCAGGCCTTGTTATATTTAACAGTTGGACCTGCATATGGACAAAATTGACTTTTACCTTACTAACAGGATCTTCAGTTCCTCCTTCTAACAAAAAGTGTCTGTAGCCTCTAGAGTCATGTAGGCTCATTTTCTCAGGCAAAATTGCTGCCATCCTACGTAAGAGGGTGAGCTTTATAAGACTGTTGATGAAGGCTTGCTTATATAAATAGCAGCTGATTTGACTGCAAAACACATGGCCCTCACCTAAAATAAAGTCATGTGTTCACACAGCTTAGCAGTCTCAAGGTGAGATTTCTAAACTACTTTTGTTGTTCTTTGAACACTGAAAGAGTATCCTGGGTAAAGTCTGATCCCATTTTCAGACTTCATATCTAGAGTTGTGACATTCCCTTCCTTCCATTTTGAAAGGTTTCACAGCGACAGTTCAGGCTGCTCCAGCTACACACATTACAGACAGGATAGCATTGATTTCTTACTGGTATTCTGTTTGATAACTAACATCTGAAAGAGTCCCAAACTTACAGGTCAGTTATCCTTAGTGAAAAGATAAAAACTGTCAGGGTGGAACAACAGCTTTGAGTCCACTAATTAGTTAAATGTTCTTTCATTTTTCACAGATCATCAATCACCAAAGGGGAAAAAAGGAAGTAATATTCATTGAGGGACTACCACAGTGCTTTCTCCAATGCTCATGATGCAGTCAACCTTTCCACTGGGAATTAACAATCCCAGAATCTTACTCTAGTTTCTGGAGGACTCTCCAGCTTTGAGAACTTAATCATATACAATTACCTTCACTTCAAATAAAAGACTTACTAACACACATTCTCATAAAAGAATGTAAGATCCTATTCACTTGGAAGTCATGAACAGGACTTTCCTTCTACTATTTTCTACGAAAAAAATATCTATGAAGCAGAAAGACTTAAGAATGAATTTGGGTTCTTTGTTACGCTAAAACATGCTGTGATGACTTCATGTGCCCCTGTCACAGGAAATAGGAAGGATATCTGGGACATGCTGGAAAAGCAGAGAAGCATCTGCTACAAGAGAAGATCTCTACAACTTCCCTACGCAAATTCATTTCAAATTATACATAATACAGGAAAGTGCTGATTTCCATATCTTTGCCTTTCAACTCTTGGCATTTCTCTCTTTTGCTTGGAAACCACACAGAATTCATATCTTTCAAAAAAAAACAATAGCAACAAGAAAAAAACAGTGGCTATTCTTGGAGGAGTGGGTAGAAAATTACTCCAGAAGCAGGGAAATGAAGTAGAAAAAGAAAATAGAGGAAACTGTTAGCGTGTTTCCAAGGCCTAACTCAAGAGAAAGCTTCCTCTAAGCATCCCTCTTTGGAGCCAATCTGTACTTCAACACTAGATGGCACCATTGACTAATATCATCTCAACAAGAGACATTGGTTCACGTTCCAGTTCAGCATGGAATTGGCAACCTTCCCCAAATTTGCTTCCCACCACTTCTGCTTTTGGCTGCAACCATCTAGGCTAGGCTTTGAAGGAATCTGGAGAGCATCTTGCTGCAAAAAAATTGGGTCAAGTTGCCACACCTTCACCCCTGCTGTACTCTGTGATAAATAAAGTTTTCTCTGCCCTTCAGATAGTTCATGCTTTGATTTTCCTCACTACTGATACCACTCCTGGTTTCTTTAAGGACCATTTCCAATGAAGGGCTGATAAATGTGTAACAGCCAGTTCTCTAAAAAAGAGGAGGAAGGGTATTGATTTGTGGCCTTTGCCAATTTCCCTGGTGTAAATACTCCCAACCCAGCTGATTTCAAGGCCAACATGAATTGGGAAAAGATGCACATTAGCACAGCATTACATAGTATTACCCAAATATGGATACAATAGATACAAATAGCCTCAAGAACACAGATGATAGTAAACTGTAGTAAAATCATTAAGCTATAGTGCATAGTGAGCATTTATAACCCCTTTTTAGATATCATTTATCTCTTTGTAAATTTATACAATTTACCTATTGCATTAGAATCTCTGGGAATGTGTTTTTAAGAAATCGGTAGTTTCTGCATATATGCAAGTTAGACAACCTTGATTTAATGTAGATAAAACTACTAATTTTTTGCCTTACCATCAGCACTCTGTGGATCAGTCCTTTCCCAGCTTAAGATCTCTTCTCATACGAATGTGTCTATTTCAGTCCATGAAGCGTCGTCCTTCTCTGCAACATAGCACCTCTATCTACATACTACAGCTAGTGTCTGATCAGTGATAATCTGGCTAAGCTTTTAACCAAAATAACCAACCAACAGCCTCAGTTCATCTATTATCCCCTCTGCCCCATTTTCAACCCTGGCTTTATCCCCTCAGCAGATAAGACTCTGGGACTGTATCCTACACTGGAAAGTTGCTGAGAGTAGAACTTAAAAGTTCTCACCACAACACAGACTTAAATGGTTGCAACAACATCAAAATGGGAACTCTGTGAGCTGATGTGTGTCAACGACCCTCACTGTGGTATCATTTTACATGTACATGAATCATCACATTGTACACCTTAAACTAACACATATGTCAACTATATCTCAATAAAGCTGGGGAAAAATATACCTAACCTGGGGCTTCTGTACCTCAAGGCAGACAGCTGATGCCTCAGGGATCTGTGCCCTTGTTCAAGAGTAGGGATGGGATAAAAGCCAAAGTTGAATGCAGGAGCTACTCCTCCTCCACCCAATACACCCCATATTTTAACCAACGTGAACCAATCACAAGAGTTGGCAAACAACCATGACTATAAAAACCAAAGTTCAAGGATGAAATGCATTCCATCCCAGGAGAAAAGAATGCTTCTACACCCACAACTCACCAAGGCCCAGATGCTCATGAGGGAGGCATCACTGAGGTGGGAGATGTGCCCCTTGAACCAACCCCAGTGGGAGTCCTGAAACAGCGGAGCCTGTCCTCCAGGCGTATTCACCGCTGTACTGGCATAGTCTACCCTACTGCTCACCCTGTAATTATACAAAAAACAGACCCAAAATTGTCCTTGAGAGTCTGGACAAGACTTGTGCCAACTCTTGCCCAAATAAGAATGAATGACAACCCAAGACAGGGCACCATTGCAGGCTTGGCCAGACCCAAGGCCTCTAAGGTCATCGGTGCCACCTGGGCAGTGATGTCAGGCCATGGACTCAGGGTGGGTATTGAAAGGACTCCCACTTCCCAGTATTTTCTTTTCCCAAGTAAAGGAAGGAGAGTGATGCTGGTACCTTTCTGCCTTTATTCCTGATTAGTGTGATTGTTTTTGAACTACAGGCCAAGGCTCTCTCATTATTAAAAATCATGACCATGGACTTCCCTGGTCCAGTGATTGGGACTCCCCACTGCCACTGTAGGGGGCACAGGTTCAATTCCTGGTTAGGGAACTAAGATCCACACATGCTGTGCGGCACAGCCAAAAAAAAAAAGACAAAAAATCATGGCCACATTCAGGACCTGGGACGTGGAAGACATGCAAATCCAAGACCATTTCACTGAGCTAGGATAGTGTATTAGTTATCTACTGCTGCATAACGAATTACCATAGACTTTAGTGGCTGAAAACAACACACATTAGTTCTCACAGTTTCTGTCAGGAGCCCAGGCACAGCCTAGCTGGGTCCGCTGCTCACCGACACTCACAGGTGGCAATCAAGGTGGCAGCGCTGCTGCTGTCTCAGGGTTCCAGGAGAATGTGGCTGTTGGCAGGATTTAGATCCTCACGGGCTGTCGGACAAGGGCCTCGGTTCCTCGCTGGCTATTGACACCAAGAGGCCCTCGATTGCTTGCCATGTGGGCCTCCCCACCACGGCAGCTTGCTTCATCCAAGTACACAGGCCAAGGGAATTCCCTGGTGGTCCAGTGACTAAGACTCCACACTCCCAAAGCAGAGGGCTTGGGAGCAATCCCTGGTCGGGGAACTAGATCCCACATGCCGCAACTAAAGATCCTGCATGCTGCAACAAAGATTGAAGATACTGTGTGTCGCAACTAAGACCCAGCACAGTCAAATAAGTAAATAAATACACACATACCTTTTTTTAAAAAAGAAAAGTACACAAACCAAGAAGGCAATGGAGAGTCAGTAAGCAAGAACCAGGTCCCAATCTCTGATAATTTAATCACAGAAGAGAGAGCCCATCACCTTTGCAATATTCTGTTTGTTAGAAGCAAGTCTCTAGACCGCTCCCACTCAAGGAGAAGGAATTATACCACAAGGTGTGCATATCAGGAGGGGGTGATGGGGGGGCACTTAAGAAGACTGTCCCCTATAGATAAAAATAAGAATTCACCAGGGTAATCCACAATCGACTACAATAGGGTTTTCATTTTAAATTTCATTGCCTAATGAAAACCTTAGAATAAAGATATTAATAGAAAATGCAGAAGCAAAACATCCCTCTTGTTTATAAGCAGGACTATCTATTGCCTCCAGGGGCTTTGGAGATAACAAACCAAAACAAAATAAAACCCCTAGAGTTAGGAACCAAGTCGATGCTCTTAAAAGATAAGGTGCAAAATCATGGCTGATTAGCAAAAATCAATTCTGTTTTTAGAGGTGTTGATGAACCTAGAGTCTGTCATAACAGAGTGAAGTAAAGTCAGAAAAAGAAAGACAAATATCATATATTAATGCATATATATGGAATCTAGAAAAATGGTACTGATGAACCTATTATGTGCAGGACAGAAATAGACACACACTTGTGGACACAGCAGAAGGGGAGGGTGGGACAAACTGAGAGAGTAGTGCTGACATATACACGATCGTGTGTAAAATAGCTAGCTGGCGGGAAGCTGCTGCCTAACACAGGGAGCTCAGCTTGCTCTGTGATGACCTAGAAGAGCAGGATGGGGGAGAGTCTCAGAAAGGAAGGGATGTATGTGTGCATATAGCAGACTCACATTGTTGTACAGCAGAAATGAACATGACATTGTAACAATGTCCTCCAGTTAACGACAATCCTCCAATTAAAAAAATAAACAGGAAAAAAGTTCTGACATATATGTATTAATATTTATCCTTCCTCCCTCCCGAGACTGTACTAAAACGAGAGTGAATGTATGTCAAATGTTTCGTATTTTCCCCTTGCCAAGTGACCCAATTTGAGAGGCAGCAAATGAGAGGTGGAGGAGGGAATTAAACACATTTCTGGAAGGAGGAAATTAGGAGTAGTGACCAAGCAGCAGGAGCCCCAGCCTCGAATTCACACGGCAGGAGCTAAGCCAACAAGGGTTCTGAGCCGGGAAAGGTTCAGGCTTAAGATTGGAGCTAGTGCCACGGGGGTAAACACAGCAGCTTAGTCGAAAGTCAATATAACAGAACAGCCAAGCCCTCGTGGGGACCTCTGTGCTCAGCTGCAAGCTGCCCACAGGCAGACCTATCAAAGGAGAGGAAGTTAACTGAGACAGCAGATGAAGCGCCTCTTCTCCCTCTCCAGCCTCGCTGAAACAACTGTGAAGAAAGCTTTATGAAAAGTCTTAATCCACAAGGGCAGAGAGAACATTAGAGGATTCAGCAATGGACAAGGTCGTTTAACAAAGAGTTTGGACATGGAGGAGTGTAACTAACCAGGGAGAAATCTTAACCTCAGACACAGGGAGATGCAGAAAGGAAATGAGCAAGTCCTCAGAGACTCAGTACTTAGGGGCAGCAGGAAGGCAGGAAGAAAGTTGAAAACTGGGGTAGGTAAAAGTTTCTACACAGAAGGGTGGGTCCCCGCCCCGAAGCCCTGTACAGTTTGGCTCCCTCCACTCTGCTGGCTGCAGGGACTTGAGCCAGAGCAGAAGCCCAGGGGGGACAAAAAGGTCTGTGGTCAGGACTCCGAAAACCCTGGCTCCTTCCTGCTTCTTACTCCCAGGAAGCCTATAGGCAGGCCACCTGACTCAGATATAGTCTCCCATTCAGGTGAGGTGCAGAGGACTCATCTCTGGAGAAACTGATCACCCCCCAAAAGACAATGACACTTAAGGCTCCCATGAAAGCGTCCACTGCTCACCTACTGCCCTGACAGCAAAGGCCATCAGCCAAGAGACCACTCACGAATGTCTTTCTCAGAAATGCGGAGCCAAAATTTTTCAGTAGGGGAGTTGTTTTTTTCCTCCTTCTCCATCTGCACTCATTCTTTCCTGTCTGATGGTTTTGCAGCCGCCACGTCCTGTTCTGCTGTCTACCATTCTACAGCCTGGTCTTTGAATGGCAGTTTGGGGCCCTAGCCTAGAGTAACCTAGGAATGTCACAGATCCAGGCCACAACCAGTGGGATGGTTTGGCTTAAGGGGTTTTCCTCCTTGGGCCTCCATCTTTCTCAAAGCCAGATCAGGTACACAACTGGTACCCACTCCCCATTTATTCTGGAGCATACTTAGATCCTTTACCCCACAGCAGCTGAACTCTCAGCGACCACTGCCAGGCTCTAGGTGCAGCAGACCCGAACAGTTCCATCTTGCCCAACATTCTGCATTTTTGTTTTATTTATAACCCATGAGCTTGTTTACCTTGTTTCTAAGCCAGCCTTTTCTTTTTTATATTTTGTCTTCTCTTTTTATTTTACAGTTTTGAAGCCAAGAAGCTGATCAAGTCATGAGTTCATGGTACCATTTTGATGGAACGCCCACATTTTGGTTTCTAGTACTATTTTACACCAAAAAGGACCAGGGTTCTTAGTGGAAGAGCTGATTCTGTGTTTGGGCAAGAGAACTAGAGTTGGGATTGGATGTCACGGAGACCATCAAGGACATCTGGAGAGGTGACAAGAGAGTCAAGGTGAAGGGGCCAAAATTGTGACAAGCATCAAAAAGAAAACAATGATCACTGTCACCGGGACCGACTGAGTAGAAGCGAGGCCCTGAGTCCAGAATGATGTTCAGAAGGTACAAATAACAGATAGCATGCCAAAGATAAATCACATGCACCTCTCTGAGTCAGCTGATTGGTGCTTGACTCACAGCATGGACCATAGGAAAGTGAGTTTGTGACTGTGGAATTTGAACCAACCTCAGAATCAGAGGGACCTGGAGAAAAAGATTCATGGGGGAGACTGCTGGGAACTGAGTTGAGGTAATAATTCTGAGCACTGACTCAATTTTCTTCCCCAAGATGAGACTGGGGCCTTGTTGCTAAGTTTAGCTCAAGACCAAGAACAGCCTGATGTTTATAAGCATTCCCCTGAATGGAAGCACATAGGTCTTTAGTCTAAGTTTTTCTAGAAGGTTGCCATGAGCCCTGATATAGAAGGAGAGTGGGGGAGCAACAGCTGAGCTTTCCAAATCCAGTGAGGTCTTACTTATGTAAATCTTGAGCCCCACTAAGGACTTTGGGGGACAAACCGAGTCAGATCTACTCTTCACTTCCAAAATAATTCTGTAGCTTTGGCTAATTTATCAGGGACTTATTACAGCTTGTAGAGGTGGGGACCCTTCCTGACTGTCTAATTTAACTTGAAACACTTCAGAGAAAAGAAAAAAAATGAGGATATAATAGAAGCAAAGATCAGTAATTAGAAACCCTAAGGTTAAAGAGCTGTATGAAGAATACATAGTTGTATTACATTACACCATTTAGTTCTGGAGTAAACAGCGTTTATATCATTATAGTAATATTAACATTTTTCTTGCTTTTCAGTTTTCTAAATATACCTTTAGAAAAAGTAGAGCATTATGGTTACAGAATAGAACATAAGTGTTTAAAAACAAACAAACAAACAACTTTGATCATGTAAAAGTAAGAGGGAAGATGCCCAGAGTTAGGAGTTGGAAAAGTGAAAGAAGGGCTGGAAGAATAGACAGGGGAGCTCACAGATCCAGTTCCCAGAGTGGGGTGGCAAGGGGTCCTGTCCACTGCTAAGGCTGTTAAAACAAGAACCTTTTTGAAGGGCAACTGAGTAGAATTTGCTGGGATTTTAAAGTCTATCTGGAAGAATCCAAAAGAAACCAGCAACAATAGCTGCCCGAGGAACAAAAGAGGCAGGCTTTCACTGTGAACCCTTCCTAACCTGGAATTTTAAACCCTTTTAAAATCTGTACTCAGTAGTCCAACTCTAGGACTGCCCCCTTCCAGAAAAGGTGCACAAGACCTGGCCGAGAGGCTGTTGGACACAAATGCAGTGCCCATTAGGACAAAGGTGGGTGTGTTACAGAACAACCATGACATGGAATATCACGCACTAAAGGATTCACTGGACCTAGGCTGACAAACGCGAAAAGGTGCCCCTGTATCATTTAATGAGATGAGCTGCTTAACAAGTGTAAGATCTCATTTCTTATATACTTTTAAATTGTATGTACATATGATTTATACACATAATATAGTCTGGAAGGACAGCAAACTGAACAGCAGCTACTTTGGGAGATAGGAAAGGGGAGAACAATCTTGACTAGAGATGTTTTATTTGTATTTATTATGAGACGTCTGTATAACATGTGAACTTTTGTCAAAACCTCCTCAAAGTACAGCATAGCCCTGTCAAGTAAGAAATGACTTTGGTGTTGGGGGTAGTGACTTCAGTTGATGAACTCCCAGGAGAAGATGCTCTGCACACTTCTGCCTCCCCCCACCCCAGCCCACCCCAGAAAGAAGCCAGATCAGAGCAAGGCTTGATCCAGGACAAAATCACTTCCATGTCAAAAGCATCAAGACTGCACTGATGGGTCCCATCAGAACCTTTAAGTTCAAAAAAGTGGATGGTAAGCCCCTGGCTGACCATGAGCTCAAGTCCAGGGTATCCCTCCCTCTATTTCACGAAAAGAGGAAATGTTTCTCAAATGAATGGCTACCAGGAGCTGGTTCCTAAAACCTGTCAACTTGCAGCCTCAGGCTGTTGATGCTCTGGCGCCATGGCAACTGCTCGGAGAAACCCAGGCCAAAGGTGGCCGGGAGGCAAATGAATGAGGGCTGAAGCCCCCGATCCTTGGATGAAGACTGGGCCGCCCATCAGAAGTGTGGCTGTCTTGGTTAATGACACACAATTCTCAAAACCAGCAAGGTCACAGCATTTCCACCCCTGTGTGGACCTGGAGGGTCTGTGGGGCCCAGAGACCTTTTGTCTGGAGGACAGTGACTTTGGACATATCCACGCCAACACCGCCCACAGCTGCTGATTGTTTATTGCACAAGAAACTGGCAATACCAAGGCAAGGGGGTGGGCATTACAAAACAATCTGGTGACCAACTCAGAGCTACCAAAGGGCATTCCGTACAGACACCTCAGTTATATACACGTATGTACACACACACCCACATGAACGCACTCGGCACGCCCATGAGCCTGAGGCTCCCAAACCCTGCATGGCGTGGTGGCTTGCGCCCCAATCCCCAACATGGTGAGACACCGCAGGGAAGCACAGCCAACGATCCAAGGGAAGAAGGAGGTTGGGCTGTGGTGAGCTGAGCCGCTCGAATCAGTACATACAACACAGAGCAGACATGGGCCAGGGTGGCAGGGGCAGGACGAGGACCTGAGGGCACGAGGCTAACTCAGACAACCCTGTGGGTGGTCTGAGGACCTGCAAGGGGACCCAGTGACAATCACTACTCCAGCATCCCAGAGGAGTGTGTTCGCCTGGAAGATCTGAACACACAGCGGGATGCCCACGGCAGAGGTCGGCAGGAGCTCCAGCAATCAAGTCAGACTGCGCACAGCAGCTCAGGGCCCTTCTGCTGGTTTCCAAGAGCATCATCTCTTTTGTGCAGGGAAAGCCACACTTCGAGGCAGAGTGAACACACTCTACAGCGGCGGGAACACACTTCATTCTCCACCCGGATGCATGGGCCGCCTGGAGGTCCAGGGTCTTAGCCCGTCAGCCCCACGCACCCCATCACTCCATCTAGCAAAGGGAGTTCTCCTTTATTGGAGGCAGCGAGGTTGGGGTGACACTCAGGACAATAATCCCCTTCCCCCTCTTCTCTATCAAAGGCTCGGGGACAAGGCTGTTGGGAAGTGGAGCCACTGGGTCAGGCCTGCCCGCGCCCACAGAACTGCAAAGCAGGCTCCCAGGAGGAGCAGCTGTTCGGGAAATTCTTAGACCAACAGTGCTGGGCGCCCCTGGGTCCCAGCCACGCCTGGCGCACCAGCTCCTTGACAGGAAGTGCCAGCAGCACGCCAGCCACAGAATACAAAGCAGTCCTACCCGCAAAATGCTTCAAGTTTATGCAAAAGGGAAAAGAAAATGTAAGGGGGTTTCTATCCCCCTGACATCCAAGCAGCTGGTAACGACCCTTCATCTGCTGGAGGGAACAGACTGGCCAGCACTGAGTGGAGGGCGGAGCCGTGCTGCTCAGCCTCCCTGGCTGGAGCTGGCTAGCCAGGGACAAGAGGTGACCTTGGTCCAGAGCTCCCCTCCCTCAGACCTTCATTTATATAGATCACTGGAAAAGTTCTATACAAAATAGAACCTCTTTTACTGGCAAAGACCCTGGGCTTCCTCAGCCCAGAACAGCTACCCCAAATGGCCAGTCTCCCTCTCACCTAACCAGCCTGTGAGGCCCAGGGCTTCAGCACAGGGCGCCCGCCCTTGCACATGCACACAAACCTAGGGTTGGTCTCAAGGGAGAAGGAGGATGAGCTTTGCAGAGAGGGTCAGCCCTCCAGACTTTGCAATGGCTGATGGGGCCAAGGGTGACACGGGGGCTTTATTCCAGACTGCCACCGGTCGGGAGGAGCGAAGAGCAGGGCAGGGCCTCTTGAGGTCAGGCCCTGCTGCCACCAGCCTGATGACAGTGCGGTCCCATGTGGGACTCCCATCCGCAGGGGCCTCCCGGGGGCTCCGTGGCCAGCGGCCTCTCAGGCAGGGAGGACTCAAGACTACACGTGTGCTGGGGTTTGGGGGTGGGGGACAGCCTCAGTTACTCCTGCCCAAAGCCCTCGGTCTCCTCAACAGCGTACAGCAGCTTCTCCTTCAGCTGTTCGTAGCTCTTGTATGGCGGCAGGTCCAGCCGGTTGAAACTGTCAAGAAAGGAGAACAGGGCAGTCAGCATGGGGCACGGGTCAGAGCTCTAGCAGCCACAGAGATCCCATACTGTGACTCAACCACGATGCCAGCTGGCCACACACCACAACAGGGTCCTCAAGGGCCCTGCTGTGTCCCTGGACCACAGCGGGGTTAGAGGAGGGGACAGGGCTACAGGGGAAATGCGGAACTGCAGAAGAAGACGGGGGACAGCAGCTCTTTGCCGACTGGAATAGGAGTGCCTCAGTACAGCAAGTTCCCTACATACGAAAGAGTTCCATTCCAACAGCATGTCTGTAAGTCCAATTTGTTCTTAAGTCCAATAAAGTTAGCCTAGGTACTCAGCTAACACAGTCAGCCATCCAGTTGTTGTTCTTCAGTCATTAGGTCAGGTCTGACTCTTTGCGAACCCGTGCATAAACTGTAGCATGCTAGCCTTCCCTGTCCTTCACTGTCTCCCAGAGTTTGCTCAAATTCATACTGTAATACGTTTATAATACTTTTCATACAAATAATACATAAAAAACAAAACAATTTTAATCTTACAATACAGAGCTTTGAAAAATATAGTACAATAGCTGGAATACAGAGGCTTGGCATCCAGTGAACAGGCAAGAAGAGTTACTGATTGGAGGAGGAAGACGGTAGAGCTAAAGGATTAGCAGCAATAGGAGACAGCGGGCAAGCTGCACTCCTGACATTGATGTCACAGGTTCTGGTTCCTTGCTGGATTCAACTCTGTCTACCCTCTTGAAAAAAAATGACCTAGTGATGTCTGGGTGGTAGCTCTTTTTTTCCTCATCATAGGTGACATGGCAGCACTGGATTACATTCTGAACGGCTGCTGCAACCTTCACATACCATTCTACATTTGGGTCCTATGCCTCAAAAACTAACGGTGCCTCCTCAGCTAAAGAAATCCCCTTGCCATTTCCTCCACTTGTAAAGGATGTATACACGTGACAATGTACGCCAGATAAGTGAGTGAAGTTACATGACCAGACACACGAACTCATGTTCGCATCTTTGAAAGTTCACAAGTTGAAGGTTCGTATGTAGGGGACTTACTGTATTTCATACCTAGTATGGCTATCAGGGCACACAGATACTGTCACAACTCCCAAAAGATCGGAGGCCCAGGCACACCTCAGCCCTACCTCCCCAAACCTAAGCACCACATAACTACACACAAGTTGCCAGGATCAAGGTGCTGAAGCCGCCTTGCCCACAGGGTTGCTCTTGGGGGCTCATCGGGTCTCGGGTTCCAACCACCTCCCCCAACAACCAGCACACTCACCAGGTGTGGCTCCTGGGCAGCCAGGTCTCCTTGCCAACCTTGTCAATGCAAAACTTCTGTGGGCCGTTGCTACCTGTTATCCAAAGGAACACATGTTGTCTATGACAAGTCAGCCCCTTCCTGAGGCAGGACCCTCCGATGCCACCAAAGACAGCTTCCCACTGACTTGCTTCCAGGAAGACATGAGGTCTTGTCCCTGCTTTGAGCTGTCCTCACCTCCACCCAACGGCACCAGCAGGACAGGGATAACGTACCGATGAGTTCGGTGAATCCCCCAACGGGCAGGCGGCAGGTCCCAGTGACAAACTGTAGCAGCCGGATCCTCTTCTCGTTGTCCATCTCCTTCACCACCTGGAGCCCCGAGAGCCCAGGCAGAGTCAGGGCCACTCGGACCAGCACTTTGCCCTGACCTGTAACTCTGCAATGAGCCAGGGCCCCTCTTTGGGACTGAGAACATGGAGACCCGGTGTGGTGTGTGGGGGTGGGTGACAGTTACTCCCTGGGAAACCCCAAAGCCGCTCTAAGAGGCTGTGTGTGTACATCATTCCCACCAGTCTATGTGACGTCTCTTGGTCTCAGGCCAGAAATTCTCCTCTTCATCCAAGTTCCATTCTTTAAAAAAATATGTATTTATTTAGCTACATCGGGTCTTGGTTGCCTCATGCAGGATCTCGCTGTGGCACGTGGGCTCTCCAGCTGTGGCCGGGGGGCTTAGTTGCCCGGCAGCACACAAGGTCTCAGCGCCCACACCAGGGGTGGAACCAGCGTCCCCCACACCGTAAGGTGGGCGCTCAACCACTGGACCACGAGGGAAGTCCCCCAAGTTCCACCTTTAAAAACATACTAAGGATGAGAGTGACTGCTTTAATAGGTGTGAGATTTCTTTTTGAGGGAAATGAAATGTGCTGGAATTCAACAGTGGTGATGGTGCGTACAACACTGTCAGAAGCCATTGTAAGAGCCACTCCAAACACTTAATATGGCGAATTTTATGGTATGTGAACATCACCTCCACAGAAAACCTACCTCTGCTCGTTCTTTTTTATGTATGCTATACTGCACAATGATAACGACAAGACCCGCACATACAAAGCAACTGATTCCTCATATGCAGGACAAGGAGCTCTTTCAGTCTCTCTGGAGCCGAGCCCACGCTTTCCGTCCCACCTGGCTGGAAGGAGACCACGTGACCTACAAGAACTTCCCTCCCTGCTCACGGCCCCCTCCTCACCAGTCCGCACACCAGCATCTGAGGCTGGCCCACTGCCAAAAACACCTCCTGTCGAATGCAGTGGCCGCAACCCAGCTCCTATCGTCCCAAGGCTGGGTTTCTCATATCCTTTTGGGAGTTGGGGGAAGCGAGGAGAGCGTCAAAGATGAGGAAGGTGATGACACAACAAGTGTCCCGGAGCTTGGGGTTCAATCTGGCCCGCTTCCTGGGGGTACCACCCAAACATGCCTGCCCAGAGCCCCTGCTCTTACTGCGGGGACCAGACCCAGGGCCCACCTGCCAGAACCACTGGATCTGCTTGCTGTTCTTGGTATAGTGCCGGTAGATGGTGTTCTTCTGCCAGTCACTCATGTCTATCTCCTGCATGCCGCACAGCATCAGCTACAGAGGAGAGAGAGGGTGTCAGGCACCCAGCACCAGCCCCGTCCCCATGGCACACAGGGCCGTCTGCTCCCTGGCAGGTGGAAGCACCCCACACATCTCTGTCGGCAGTTTTAACAGTATGGGAAGCAAAAGTCTTGCATGACGACCCCTTGCAAACAAGAGCCCAGGTAAGGGCAGATGCAAGACCCAAATTAACCATATTTGCCTGCTGCTACCCTCCTGGGAGAGCCTGGGGTTTCACTGGTAAGTCGCTGTGGGTGCTCAGCAAGGCTGTCAAAGGGCAGGACAGCCCCAGGGGCTGGGGCTCAGGATCCCCACACCTCAGCTCTCACCTCCAGCTCTTTCTCGTCAAAGTAGCGCAACCACTCCAGGGGGGCCACCTCATTGAAGCCGTCCAGGAAGGCTTTGGTCTGCTCTTCCACACCCCGTGTGAAACGCCAGTCGGTCAGCAGCCTGAAACCAAGACCGACCATCGGTGGAGCCCGAGACCCACTCCTCTGGAGCAGCTCAGGGTCAGCCGGGAGGTGGCCACTGTTGGCAGCAAGGAGGCAGCCGAGAGTCGACCTGGGCAGGCGGGACACCTGGGCAACTTCGGCCCCAGAGCACGGCCTTTAAAACCTCACAGTAACCCACAGACACTTGAATCTTCAAAATCTCCTCCTCCTGCTCCTCCCATCGCCGCTGACTGAAGCTCAGATGAGTGGGGGTTAAAAGACTAGCCCAACGGACCTGAAGTGAACGGGCATGTTCGTGTACAATCCCACGGGTGACAGTGGGTTTAAGCAGGCACAGACATAGATGCCCTTTCAGTTAGGAGAACAAAGAAGGAGTCGTCGAACTTATATGCCTCTTAAAAGAAATTCTGTCCTGCGGTCATGAATCTACAACTTGGGAACAAGGAGCACCCAAGAGGCTGCAACAGAGGGCCTCGGGCTCTGGCCACCCGGCTCTGCCAGCACATGACTGGCTACAGCAGCCATGGAAGGTCAGTGCAAAACGGAAGGCTCTTCCCATCGCTGGAGACCCACGGGCCCCACGAGGGGGCCTGGCTGAAGGCGGTACCCCGGGGTAAGAGGGTGAGCCTCTTTCTCTGCGGCCGGCTGTGTCTCTGCCCCCACTTCCCGGGCCCCCGGCTCCCTAGCGCTTTAGACTCACATGATGTACTCTTCCTTGTTCTCCTCCGTCACTCGGATGCTCTCTCCACCTTCCTTCAGCTCGTGGGTTGTCACTTTGCCCAGGATCTCCATGTCCTGGATGAAGTACAGTTCTAGGCCGCACTCCTCCAGGTTGTTCTCTCTAGGGCACAAGAGACCAACAGGGAAGGTGTCTGCCTTAGAAGCGTCTTCCCTCGGTCCTGCCCCATCACTCACTCTCAGTGTGCGTGGGACACAAGGACTCACAGGTGGCCTAGAGCCCAGAACGGGATCCCAGGACAGGGGGACCCAGAAGCTGGGCCTCTCCACCCGCCTACCACCCACCCAGAGACCCCTCCTCTCCCAGCACAGGGCAACAGAGGGGACCCACTTGATCCAGACGATAGAGTTGTAGAATTCAGGGTCAATGGATTCCAGGTCTTTCAGGGTCGGTCTCTTGTTTAGCATCCGCTTGTAGAAAGGGAGTGTGAAGCCTGTATCAATGAACTTTCCATGGTACAGGGCCTGGGGACAGAAGAGACACGGCAGAGAGGTCTGGTTTTCCTCGGATGCCCCATATCAGAGCCCGGCTACTGCTCCCTGCAGTCCTGAGCATCCAGCTCCCCCAGGGGCCTGAAGGCCAGGTCTGTAGCCCTCTTGGTCCCACCTGCAGACCACAAGGACCCACCCCTGGCCCACTGCGTGCCCACCAGCCCCCCGCTCTAGCAGAAGTCTGCCGCACGCACACAGAGGAGACTCGCTCAGCACAGCCCCAGGTGGCAGCCCTGACTCACTGCTGCTCAGAGCTGGGCAGCAGAGGCAGCCAAAAATAATGCAGACGCCCCTGCTGCTGCTGGCGGGCCAGCGGTGAGTAATAGTCTAGGGTTTTACTGGTCTGTCCTGTCAGCCACAGGGCCAGGCGGGTCTCTAGACCCGAGAAGAATGTGCCCACTTCCTGAGCCCAAGCACCTTGGCCAAGAACCTCCAGACAAAGGGAAGGGACATTCTTAGTCATGGGCTCCTGGGTCCTCCTGAGAGGGGAGCAGGGCAGACACTCACTCAGGAAGTCAGGGGAAGAAGCAAAGGCAAATTAGCAGTGAAAGCTCTCCAATGACCAAATGTGGCAGAGGGACCGGGACTTCCATGGGCTCCCCTTTCTCCATCCCGGGTCTCGAGGTACTCAAAAGAATGCACATGAGGTGATGCCCTTTCCAAATTTACACTGTGCTCCCATTTCTACATAAATACAAACGCCCGGCTCCCCATTCCCTGCTCCTCCCTTCTCCTGCCAGATGACTCCAGCGTCTTGCACCAGTCAATCAACCTGAGAACTACCTGTTCTCAGCTAGTGTAGATTCCCCATCCCCTTCCAGAAGGCCCACGTCTCAGTCGGACACTCCCAGACACCGCCACCCAGCTCACAGCAACACCCAGAGATGGGCCCGTCACCCCCACCCTTGACAGCGCATGCAGTGCGTGTTAAGGGAAGACTTTGATCTGGGGACCCTGGGCTTTCTCTTGACAAGTCCTACACAATCAACGTGAAGACCTCCTCAGTGTCCTAGGGTGGGCCCTGAGACAGCTCTGGACTATTTCCAGAACTCTCATATTTTCTGCATCTTTAGTAAGGAGTTCTGTAAGGATGAGGGTAGAGCTCAGAGAGTGGGCACCCAGCCTTCAGAGCTGCTGGTGGTCTACAGGTCTGTGACCACACTCCCTGGAGGTCTGGTGACAGCGAATCTTACCATGGCGATGAATCGGCCGATAAAGCGGAAATAAGTGAGGTGGTCGGGGTTGATGGAGGAGGCAGGGTTGATCTGCAGGCAGTAGTTGTTCTTCCCGGCGTATTCAAATAAACAGTACATGGGGTTGAGCACCTCGTGGGACAGGAGGAAAAACCACTCTCTGTGAGAGAAGAGAGAGGAAAACAGGACTAATGGATCGCACCCTGCTCGCCTGCTCTGTAGGTACGAGTCTCTTCTGCCATCAAACAGTACATAGTCTGGAGACATGCATCCAGAGGGTGCATGGAGGCAGCATGCTGCTGGAGGCAGCCCCACTGGGATCAGCCCTGGGCTAACCTCTGTGAACAGCCGGTCAGTGAACAGGGCAGGGTCAGACCTAGGGTGAATCAGAACAACAACTGCACTTGACAACAGTGCTCAGGCAAACCCGTGTGCATGAGTGTTGGCTCCAGGTGCTGTATTCTGGGGCTTTCCATCTGATATCCGGAGCATCTAACAGCAAACGGGCTCCTTGCATTCTGGGCTGCCATGCACAGTTGTGTAGACTGTGCACTGCACAAGGACATGACGTTAAAATATGGATGTGTACATTTGTCACAACAAATTTCCTGCAAATAGCATCAAGCTGCCTTTTTTTCTTTTTCCTAATAAAACCAGTATATTGTGACCATTTTCCAACACAGAAGTATCTTGAGAAAGGACATTTTTTTCTAAATCTTCCAAAGGGGCTCTATGACCAGCAGTCACCCTTCTTCCACCCTGCCTAAGCAGTCTAATGTGAATACACAGTAATGTGTTGCCAATCCTTGACACAGGACATTTCTGTTCATCAGGCTGTGTCTACACCTCACTCCCACCAGCCCACCAGCCCTTCACCCCAGACCCACCACCATACCCTTCCCAATATGTCCACGAATTCATCTGAACCAACGCCCACACCTTAGCATCTCTTTGCGCCCTAGGTACAAGACTCAAGCCAGAATTCAGAGTCCTTTGAGGCTTGAGCTACACCAGCAGCGGGACGTCCCAATGGGGGCCAGTCCCTGGCTGCTGGGCTGTTTGTGGCCGGGCAGACGAGGAGGCTCTTCGATGCAGAGGGTGCCCCGGTATCCTGTCCGTGGTTCTACCCTGTGGTAGAACAGCATGATGTAACCTACCATAGGGTAAAACCACTGGCAGGACACAGAGAGACAGACACACACGGGGCGGGAGCCACACCACCAAGGAGCGCCTAGAGAGGAGGTCACCACGGGAAAAGAGAGCAGTCGACCCACGGGGGCCAGCAGAGAGGGCAACGCCACCAGCACACACAGGACCAGGAGCAAGTTATCCCAACACCAAGCGAGACGACGTCCCCACACCGAGAGGGGTCAGCAGGCTGAACGGCACTGCAGCCATTCGCTCCTCCTCTCTGCCGGGGCCCCTACGCCCCATCGTCCATGGCAACATTTTTGCCAGAGAATCTATTAACTTTTGTAGCAGGACTGGGGTGAGGGCAGGACAATGCTTTGAGTTCTTTTTAGGAGTATATCGTTTGTTTTCATTTTATTGTCAGTGTGCACATGACAAGCAGCTGACTATTGATCAATACCCTTTGGAATGGGATACAGCTTATATACACCAGATCTGCGCCAAGACCCCCAACTGAACCCGCCCCAGTTGCCCCCAGAGGAAGTGAAGCCCGGGGTTGATTCCAATGGACAACCACTTAATACCGATATCTAACTACTGTCCACTGGTGCAACTAGATGGGGTAAAGAAATAATGACAGGTTGGTTGGTAAAGAGCCACTGTTCTCAACAAGGACCTACTGTACAGCACAGGGAACTCTGCAAATGTTACGTGGCAGCCTGGACGGGAGGGGGGTTTGGGGGAAAATGGATACACGTATATGGACAGCTGAGTCCCTTTACTGTTCACCTAAAACTATCACAACAGTTTGTTAATTGACTATACCCCAATACAAAATTTAAAAATTGTTTTAAAAAAGAGCCATTATCCTGAACCCCTCCCCTAGAAACCACCCCCCGACCTAGCCTCCCCTTGACCCAGCAACTAGAGGGTTGATGCCTAGCCCAGAAGGGGACCCCAGGACCCAGTTCCGGCGCCCCTTCGGACCAGCCACACTCCTGCCCACTCCTGAAGGTGCAGGAGAGCTTTGGCAACTGTCTGAGCAAGAAGGAGGCAGCTTCCTGGCCAGGTGCCCTGCAGCCTGGGGAAGCGGGGTGCAGCACGGCATCCCGGGGCTCCCAGCTCACCTGGCGATGCCCCCATAGTCCAGGCCCTCCTCGCCACGCATGATGATGTAGAGCCGGCGGCGCAGGTCGTAGGGCTTCATATTCATGATCTGGGGAGACAGAGGGTCGTAGCCAGCCTGCCACTCTCCCTCCCATGGCAGGCTGGGGGCAGACGACCGGGGACTCCCAGGCCTGCTCTTTGGCTGATCCCCCATAACCAAGGCCCATGTCTTGAAAACCGTATCATGTGGGCTTAAAGGGCCACACCAGAGAAGACGGAGTGGTAGCAGAGGGCCCTCTCCCTGCCCCGGGTCTTAGACTCGATGATTATTCTCTAACCTGCTGGAAAGAATCCTCAAAAAGTGTCTGCCTGGAAACACTGATCTTCACATGGCTGGGGAGAGCATTTGACTGAAAAGAAAAGGAAAACAGAGACCTCAAATTGGTGCATTGGTGGTAACTATTCAATCTGACCACTTGTCTGTTGAATACGCTTCCCCTACCCCCCACCCCCAAGTTTGGGGGGGAGAACTTGGTCCCCTAGGAATGGAAGACAATGTCACAGTGAGACAAGTGACCTGCTCCCACCTAAGACACAGGCAATCCAATGCCTGCAACTAGGCTAGGAAATTGCTGAAATGACTCTGTAATCCCAATCTCCAGGGGGGAGGCCCCAGTACCAGAACTCACATGGCAGAGGAAACGGAATTGGTGATACTTCCACCGAAAACTTCGGTCGTAGGCGCCAGGGGAACCTTGCTTCGTCCTGGGAAAAGCAAAGATGTTCTGGAATCCACGAGATTTCTCAAAACTTGACAACATATTAGCCCTAAGGAAAGCTACTGCTCTGTTAATTTAGAGATGAGTAAAATGAAGCATAAAAGAAAGGAAGGGACTGCCACTAAGATCTTCTGCAGACTTGAAGGTTAAAAAGAAAATCTAGAAATAAAGCCAGACCTCTTGCTTTTAGGGAAAGACCACCAGTGTTAGTCTCAACAGAGAAGCCCCTTCCCTCCCCATCCCCACTGGCGTGGCATCAAAACTGGCCACTAGAGGGTGGTAAGAGCAGCTATACTAGGCCTGTGCTAACAGTGACGTCACCTGCGCAAAGTCCACTGGTGCTCAGGCGCTCAGTCCTGTGACCCCATGGACTGCAGTCCGCCAGGCTCCTCTGTCCATGGGATTTTACAGGCAAGAATACTGGAGTGGGTTGCCATATCCTTCTCCAGGGGATCTTCCTGACCCAGGGATTGAACCCATGTCTCTTTCATCTCCTATGCTGGTAGACAGACTCTTTACCGCTAGCGCCACCTGGGAAGCCCTACATGCAAAGTCCTTACCCTGACTCAAACCCCGGGCGAGGATCCTTAAAGGTGGTGGTGCGGGTGTTGTGGTCCACGAAGTAGCGCACCCCCTCGCTGGTGTACTTCATTTCCCACCCTGGGGGCAGAGCCGGCTCCTGGATCATCCTGGAAACATGCCAAGAGAGGGGCTGCAGGCTGGCCTCATATCTCACCTTCTGGGCTTCCATGCTAAGGGGGCTGGGGTCCCCAGAAGGCTGGAGCTGCCTTCTCTCTGCTTTTACCCAGACCCCGCAGAGGCCTCAAGGAAATGTACTTGGCAGTACCCAAGGTCTGCAGCAGAGAGGTCATTTACTGTCCCAAGGCCAAAGAATCCCCGCCCTGGGTGGATGACCGTGGCCTGAGTGGCCACCAGCAATCCCAGGACATCAAGTGCCCCATCCCAGACTAGCTTCTGGGGGGTGGGTAGTGAAGGAGTGTCGGGGTCGGTGGGAGTTCTCACGTAACTCTTCTGAAATCACTTCATCAGCGGCTTGTACAACAGAGGCCAGCAACGCCGGCCAGTCAGGCCACGCAGCAGCCACAAGGAAGGCCAACATACAATGCTACCTTCAAGCTCTCACTCTGTCGTGAGGGTCTGGGGGCACTTGTGTGTGCTTAAAGGTCCCAGAACAGTGCGAGGCCACCAGGCCAACAGAGGTGCACAGGGCCCACCCAGAGCCCTCCCGGCCTAAGTCCTCACCCCTGGGTGCGAGGGTCTTCCCACTGGGTCGTGCGTGTGTTGTGGTTCACGTAATACACCCGTCCGTTGTCCTGTCTCTTCTCTGCCAGGGAGGAGAGAGAAAAGTGGACGCTCAGATCAAGACACCCTGAGCCCATGTCCTCTCCCCGCTGGCTCCCACCTCCTGGGTGCTGGTCTGCATCTTTGCCCCTGTCCCCACCCTGTTAGAGAAGTTTAACCAGCGCAAGCCTGGCTCACTCATGTCTGTCACTGGTGAAAAAAAGGACAAAAAGAATCTTTCCCTACTGGGGAGCAGGGGAGGGGTATACACGTTTTCAACTCAAGATGAAGCACCGTCTTCGGTTGGTTGGTCGGTTGGTTTGCTGGAGGGAAGGGGGCGGTGTGGCAACACGGAGGGGGAGCAGGCCAGCTGAAACCAGAGGCATAATTGCATCCAGCTGTGTGCAAAGTGGAGGCACAGCCCAGCCTCCCCTCGACCCTGGTGCCCACCCCAGTCCATCACGGCTGCTCTCCGGTCCTCTGTTCACTGGATGCGGCCAACCTAGGCATCCCTGTCCCACAGGCACGGTCGCTGGGGGGGGCGGGGGGGAGGCTGCCTTTTCCCTCATCCCTCTCTGCTCAGCACCACCGGGCCTCTGTACCTTCCTGCTTAAAGGCAAAGTTTGGTTCTCAAACACATCCCAGCAAAATCTCTATGCTGTGCATACATGCAGACAGACACCTGGGGCTGTGGGCGTCCTGGTATTATTCCTAAGTGTGTGCTTCAAGACGGGCAGTGTCTGGTGAGCTCAGACGTGCTCTCTCCCCTGGACAATATTTACTCTCCGGCCCTTTACCGCTGTACTAACGACGGCTCTGAGTTGCTTGAGGGAGAAAGCATGGACTGCAGGGGCAAGCTCAACTCTAGCTGGTGATTCTGAAAGGGACTGAAGGGGGCACCCACTGGCTCCAGATGGATGGCCGGCAAGATAACGCTCACCTTTTCCAACTTAAAAGTTTCTCGGCTTTCAACACTGTTTCTGTCCTGAAAACAAACAATGTGCATGGCCCTCCCTCTTTACTGATGACAGGGAGAAATTAAAGAAATAAAAATAATCAGTTCCAGAAGCTACAGGTAACCCAAAAGCTGAAAAAGATCCAGAACTAGGGAGCCCAGCCCCCTCCCCTTGAGCAGCAGCCTGCAACGTTCACAGTATCAACCAAGGGTCCTGGTCCCAGACTGCCTTACCTGGTATCCACTACTTGATGGCAATTTGAAAAAAACAGACAACAGGAAAAGAAAGAAAAGAAGGTGCCTGGGATCATGACAGAGCTCCCATCACCCAGAACAGCCTGTGGGACCGTTCCACAGAGGACTGGCTTCCCGACAAGGTTGTGAAGGGATGGCGGAGCCACTCCCAGCCCAGAAGCTTCTGCTATGAAATAGACTGTCCACGTATTCTTGGCCAAGGACCAAAGCCAAGCCCGGGGATCTGTCCAGCCAGTCAATGCCACTGTCACTACTTGAGGGCCTCCCACGGCCCACGGGAAACACCTTGCTGCATACAACGTGGTAGTTTGAGGGCTGGGAAAGTTGTTAGGTAAAATCTAGCCCAACTTCATCTAGGAAGAAAGGGACTCAGGAGCATTCAGTCACACACAAGGGTTAGAGGAGCTGAGAAGACGTGGATCTAAACCTGAGGTGTCTGGAGCCCTGGGTTATTGCTTGGGGAGAACGTGGAGTCTCTGCTGAAGGAGCAGAAAGGGACCCAGGACTGAGCACTGCAGACTCAACAGCAGGCCTGCCCTAAACGCACCTCTCCTCTGGTGCTGCTATTCCTTCTGCTCACTCTTAACTCTCCCTGGGGAGATGGGCCCTGGGGAAGCCAACACAAAGCCCAGAGGACTCCATCAGGAAGGTTTCTGGGCCCTTGGCCAGATGCTCCTTTTCCTCTCAGTTTCACATCATCATGGGCTTGTGTGTTTTCCTGATCATTCGTAAAACAGCGCTGACTCCAGCCCTGGCTCCTATTCCCATCTCAGCTATTTCACACCTGGCATCTGGGAGCTGTTCGCAAGACCCCACTGCAGCTCCTACTTGGTGACCATCATTCAGCAGAACTGGTAAAGAAACAAACCACTTGACTCTAGAGATCCAGGAACAACTCTGGGATCCCCACTGTAGGTCACAGGGTCTGCCAGATAGCCTTACACAATTCTCATTTCATCTGATGAGTCCTTTCCTGCCCAACCAGGGAACCTATTTGACCTTCTCCTGTTTGACTGGCCGTCAATCTCTGAGACAATGATGAACTATGACCTTTCATCCTTTCAGGGAGTCAGGTGGATCACATGTGTGCCTAAGGGATCCCCGAGCTGAAAATCAAGAACTAAATGGGGGGACCTCACTAACAGATATATCCCACTAGAAGGACTAGAGGGTCTTTGCAGTGCCCTGGAATGCAGTGGTAATTGACTAAGTGATACCCTATGGGTCTATGGGAGTTGATGTAACTCCATAAATTACAACCAGGGAGTAGTTGCGTCTGCATCAACAGGATCCAGCTCACAAGCTGCACTTTTCCAGGTGATGCTCATCCTATCATTGTCAGCTCCTTCATCTTTGTTAGGAAGCACACCCCAGCCCAACTTCACACCATCTGTGAACATCACCGAACCAGCATCTACTGTCTCCTGCAGGCCTAACAAACAAATCAAACCCTACATATGCCAATCTTTGCAAAGTCCGCCCTCTTCAGCTTCCAGGGACTCTCGGCATACATATTGAACAAAACCCTGACCCAGATCAGAGCTGCAGAATGCGCTGAGTCCCACCGTCTCTCATGACTGCTTTTGGCACAGCCACTCCTTCCCAAAATAGTCATAAGGCCCGCCATCTCTCTCAGGTCACGGCTGTCCACCCCTCTAACTCATTACTGGCCAACAGCATGAAGGACTTGGGATTCTCCAGTGACAGGGAGAATCCAGCATGGCATTATAAACTAGCAATGGTACCCTTTCCTCATGTCAGCAGCCCACACTTAACTCTCTCATCTGCTTCCCTCTGGCCCCTTTCACAGCCATTTATCACAAGTAAAAAGACTGCTTCCATGATTCAAAATCGAGCTGAAGTCCTCCATCATCTCAACTGCAAAGAAAGGTGTCATAAGGTGTCTCAGTAGACAGACACAGACCTGACACAAATGCATCTAGGAATCAGCCAGTGTCACAATGCCTTCATCACATAGGATGGATTCTTGAGGAGGCACCCTGAAAGTTAGCACTACAACCCAACAGTCCCATGGCTGCTGGGAGACTTCTCGCATAGGGTCAGGCCCCTGCAGTGATGGCGGAGGAGGTGTTCCAGGGGTGCAGGAGAACTCGGCTATTTTCCCCACCTTCCAGACCCATAGCCTGCAACTGTTCCAGCTAGGCTTCCCTGGAGGGTGTGCTGGAAAGAGTCGAAACAGGGGAACAGAGGCAGGATAATGAGGAAGACGCATGGGGAAAGAGGACAGAGCGCCATGGAACCATCAGCTGACGCCCCGAGAGTCCAGAACAGAGAACTCAATACTTACCCCAGCCAGAAGGGAGCGGGCCCAGGGGGTCATGGTCAGTGGAAGCACTCGAAGACTAAACACAGAAACACAGCAAAACACAGGGGTTAAAAAAAAAGCCGCGGGATAAAAATAAACCAATCGATCAAAATAAAAACTGCCAAGGACTAGTTTCCACATGTCAGCACTTTGCAGAGCAGACAGTGGGGCCTTAGGTGGCATCTGCTCCTCTCCAAAGTCGTCTTCTTCTTCGAAGGAAAAAACCCAAAAAGAACCCCGCACACTGAGGGCCGGGACAGGGAGTGGAGAGGGTGCAGCGAGGGGGAGGGAGAGGAGCGCAGGTGAAGGTGGGCCAGGGCGTGAGGCCCGAGGCGGGAGCCGGCCCCAGGCGCGGCAAGAGGGCCTGCAGCGGGGCTGCCCGGCAAGCTCGGCCTGGTGCCTCCGCTCAGCTCCTGCTCAGGGCGGCCAAGGCGACTGAAATCACCACCACCACCTCCAACTTTCTCCAAGAACCACACACGGGAGGGGAAAAAATATCGCAGGCCTTTCCAATGAAATCATTCCCACAAGCCCTGCCCACGCCCAGAGCTTCCTGGCTGGGGGCTGGGCCCTCCTCCCTCCACCCCACTCCTGGGTGCGCAGGGAGAGGGAGCAGCCGCGTGTGGACCGACTGAGGGCACATTCAGGCCCCGGGCCCCTCACCTCCCCCAGGAGCGCTTGGCTTCCCTTCACAAAGCACCTTTATTCTCCTCCGGCCTGAACCTGAAGTTGCTCAGTGTTCTGTGGGCGCCTGTCTGGGGAGGTGGGGCTGGGGGCGAGGTGGCGAGAGAGAAGGGGAGACAGGAGAAAGAAAGAAAGAAGCAGGGGTTGGGGGGGCTGAGTCCAGGCATGAGGGTTACTGTTTACATTAGAGCCCCCCACCCCCTGCCTAATTCTGCTGTAGGGTCCCTGGGGCCAGGCTGCAGCGGCCCAAGAGTTCTCATATCCTGCGGGGAAGGGGCGGGGGTGGGGGGGTGGTCTGTCAAAGACTCTTCAGAGTGAAATAAAACAAGTATTGTTCCCTGCTTGCTTTCTCTCTTTCTGTTGTTGTTTTTTTCTTCTCTCTCTCTCTTTCTTGCCGAAGCATTTTTATTTCACTTACTAAAATTTAATCGCTATGTTAGGGGGATCAAGTTCTCAGTGCAGACTTCGGGCTGACTGGCTGGCCCTGTCTGGGGCCTATGGAGCCACACACGGGCAGGAGAATGAATGGAGCTCAGTCTCGGCTTGAGAAAACATTGGTAGAACTCAACGGCCAACGAAACCCCTTCCACCCCCAGCTGAAAGGACAGAGCAACTTTCTTTCCGAGGTGTTGGCGGCACAGGCAACTCTTCCAAATCAAGTCGCAACAAAGATGTTTAAGTCTGGAAACCACAGGTCCCTTGATGGGACGGAGTCACCTTTCAGCAGAGGCAGGGTGAGACTGCTCCACAGCGTGGGACGCTAGGCTGTCCTCGATCTGGGGCACGTTGCCCTCAACCTTACGCTTGTCACCACAATTCAGATTTGTCTGACGGTTACTGGGGGAAAAAAAAACACCTCCCAAAATCACAGAGGTTTTTTTTTTGGTGTGTACGTGTGGAGGTGGGGGGTTGAGGGGAGTCAGCATCTCATAAAAATCCAAGCTCCTCTGACTTTTTCGTAGCTATACTCGGGAAGGAAGGAAAGGAACCACCTTGTGAAACACACATGCGCTCCAGATAATGAAGCCAAACAGAAAGCAGTGAGTGAGCAATGAGCTGGAGCAATGAACATCCTTGCAAAAGGGAAGGACTACAGGAAAGATCATTTTAAGAAATTAAAAGCAGCAGCATTTGGTGCAATTTTTTTTGGTTTTTTTTTGTTTGTTTTGCTGATTTGGGTTTTCTGTGTTATTGTTATTGTTATTGTTTTGTTTTGTTTTCAGAGTAAACAAATGATATGCAAAGCATCCAGGAGCTCTGATGGGAAATTAGCTCCCAACTGCTACAAACCAGGCTTCAGTGGGTTTACAGTCATCTCCCTGTCTAACTCTACAAATCAACACACCAAATGGTCTTTCCTCACAGCCTCTGTGACCTGTACTGAACTAGAAATGAAAAATGTTTGGGGCTTCCCTGGTGGTCCGGTGGTTAAGACACCACAATTCCAACGCAGGGGGCATGGGTGTGATCCCCAGTCAGGAAACTAAGACCCTGCATACTGCACACTACAGCATAAATAAGTAAATAAAGTTTAAAAAAATATATTTACAGGCCCCTTTCTTAACCTTTGCCTTCTTTTAATGTCAGAAACGTTACACGATGTCAGCTCTCTCTCATTCAGGTGGTTTTTTTGAAAAATGCCTTTGGTATGCTCTCATTCTCATCCTATTAGATCACCCCCTCCCCAGGAGGGGGAGAGAGACAGAGAGAAAGGTAGAGAAGCCAGAGACTGATATTTGTGAGCAAATATATGAAACGGGTCAGTGGAAGCTGACACTCATGATTTTACCTCTTAACAGTTAAAGCAAAGCACTTGATTATTTCAGATATTTCTTCCCTAATGTATACAGTACAACTTGAAAAATGTTTAGAGGAGATGAAAGGATGCCAAGGAGACATTAAAAAAATTAAAATCTATATTTGCTGGCCAGCAAACCCAAATCCCCAAATCCCATGGCTGCAATAAGCCAATCATCTGCCCCTTCTCGCCTTCTACCACACCTTCCCCTGAAATGAGAGGTCGCAAGTGCTACCTGGGGCACAGAGAGAGGGGTGTGGGGAGACTGCTGGCAGAAGAGGGACCCTGGGGTATGCCGGCGACCCCAAAAGACCAAGACAGTTTCCTTTATTATCAGGAAAAGAAAGGAAGAATGCTGTTGAATGATTTTCCTGGTAACCGTCCCTGGGTGGGGAGAACTGGGGTGCACACAGCGAGCCAGAGGGCCCACGTGAGTTCAAGTCCCACAGGGACTAAGCGATAAGTTCCAGCAATATTTTAAGATACCAACTCAGAAATAAAGAATGTCTAGCAAATACAGCTGAAGGCAAGACAAACTCTGGAGAGGGCACAGAGGTTACACAGTATGGAAGGCAGGCTCCTTTCTTGTTTTTTTAAAGGATGCAACCAGTAGGCACAGAATAAATCCCAGGTGGCTTGAGAATTTGATCCAAGGGACTCTTTACGGAGTAAGAAACACTGTTTCTGGGTAGAGCACTTTGGCGTCCACACGTTAGCAGCCACAGAGTGACGTGCTTCTGTCTTGCAGACACTGGCTGTTCTCTGATTATTAGGGGATGACAGAGGTGGCAGAGGAGGAGTGGCCACAGAAATGGTAGCAGGCTGTGAGCAGGGTCCTTTTGCAATCAGAAGATGCACAGCAACAGGATGGGCTTGCTCTGCGGACGGCAGCAGGACCACGAAAACAGATGGCAAAGCAAGACAGCATGGGTCAAACACAAGTGTGCATGTGATGATCACAAGTAACAAAGGCACGCTGGGGCATCAGGAGAGGGAAACGTGTCAGAAATAAGGGACCGAGGGACTTCTCTGGTGGTCCAGTGGCTAAGACCCCATGCTCCAAAGGCAGGGGGCCCAGGTTCCATGCTTGATCGAGGAACTAGATCTCACATGCCACAACTAAAGAACCCACAAGCTACAACAAAGACTGAAGATCCCGCATGCTGCAACTGAGACCTGGTGCAGCCAAAATAAATAAATTTTTTTTTTAAAAAAAGAATGATCAGGACTTCCCTGGTGATCCAGTGGTTAAGACTCTGTGCTCTCAATGCAGGAGGCCCAGGTTCAACCCCTGGTCAGAGAACTATATCCCATATGCCACAACTAAGACCCAGTGCAGTCAAATAAAGAAATTTATTAAACAAAATTAATTAATTAATTTTTAAAAAGAACTAAAGGAACAATAAGAGAGAGATCAAAAAAGTGTTGAGGCTGGAAGGAATTGCAGCAGGCTGTCATCTGGGATTCCCTAGACTTCCCACGTCAAACTGTATAGTTCATGTTCTCTGCAGGGCAGCAAAGAAGAACTAGGTCTGGTTTTGGCCCAGCAGCAGCAGGGGCAGAGGAAGAGGACGAGGGGAAGCCGCTGCTATAGTATCAGCTCTTTAAGTCTTCCAAGTCAAACCCTGGCCCAAGGCCAAACCCCAAAATAACTCTATGAAAGCGACTCTTCTTACTTGTAACCAGGACATGGCACCACAGCAAACAAGAGGGGTAAACCAATTCCAAAGAGGAGGGAAGTCAACAGAGAGACATTGAGAGCTGAACCAAAAAGAGAGGCCTACCACGTTTTTCAACATGAGTCTTGTTTCAGGGAGAAAAGGGAATCATCACTCCATCTAGAACCCTCCTGGATCCCCAGCCATGCTGAGGAAACCGTATTAGAGGACTCAGAACGAACTTTTTTATTTTAAGCACTGAACTTTTACTTTCAGGGCACACTCCAAGTCAAAGTTCTACCTCTGCAGGCCCGGAATGGTGTTGCTGAAATGAGAGAGGCAGGCGAAGGGGGATGAGGCCTCCAAAAGTACAAGCAGACATGAGCTCCAGAATCTTCCCTCTCACACACCAAACATCTGGGCCAACTGACAGAACCCACACAGTGTGTAGGAAGGGAAGGGGGAGACGGAGCTCTTCAATGGATTTTTCTTTTTCAACTTGAGAAGGTGGGTAAGCAGGGACACAAAACTATGCAAGGCTCCTAAAATGCGTCCTCGTCTCTAAGTCAAAGGACAAAGCTGCTCAGACCATCCCAGTTTTGCAGCCACGACCACCCAAGGAAACGGCAGGCAAAGTCCTTGGAGCCCAACTCAAGAGGAATAATTTCTGAAATGCAGGGAAGGGCCAGATTCCACCCAGTTTTGAAACATACCAGAATATGATACCCAGCATATATAGAGGGGCTGTGGAGTGGGCAGCCAGATGCCCAGCAGTATAGATGCTGAACTAGGTACACACCATGGGGCACGGATGTAGACAGACATCAAGCTGACCTTGGAGGCAACTCAATGTGACAAACTGCAGACTTTCTGCTCATTCATACTAAGGAAACACTATATGGTGAGCAGTCAGCCCCCACGAACAAAAGAAGTAACAAGCCAGCCAAGGGCAATGCCTTATGGTTGATGGGGTGGCTCATGCTTTGGGTGAACATAGAAAGAGGTGGAAATGATGGCAAAGCTGATGATGAATGCTATTCCATTAACTGGAATTACAGGTTTTCTGAGCACTTAGACATGAGTTGTGGGGTTAAAGTTCATTTCAAATAGAAATAACGTTTGTTAAACATGGTAGTATAATAGACCAGCTCAACAAGTTTCCAACTTCCAATATACCACACCTTGTGCAGGTTCTATACTGCAGATCCCAAGCTTCAAATTCAAGGGGCTCAGAGAAAACGCAGAGTTATAACTTGAGAATCCCACCTCTCTGTCAAAGAGGCTCCCCACCAAGCACTGGGTTTCTGGGAAGGGCTCCAGTGAGACGGAGACCCAGGAAGGAAGGTTCCTAAAGAGACACAGGACCACAAAACTCTGAATCTTGGACTAGAAAATTGAAATGTTATTCTGAAGGTAATGGCCACAGAAGGTTTTGAACCAGTGATCAATTCAGAGCAAAGCCCCCCCTCCCTTAAATCCTCTACATTGATTTTTTTTAAAGTGGCAAAATTAAAGCGATATTTAAAGATAGTTCTGCTCAAAACAGTACAGATCAGAGAAGAGAGAATGCCAGCAAAGAGACAATTCCAAGGCTGCCTTCACCTTAAAGGTGGCAGGAGAAGGAGAAAATCAGGAATCAGATAGAAGAAAGTTGATCTAGACCAGTGGGTCCATACAATTTTTCTGTAAAAGGCCATAAAAAAATAGTTTAGACTTTATGGGCCACCTGGTCTCTGTTGTGGCTACTCAGCTCTGTTACTGTAGCACGAAAGCAGCCACAGTCAAAACCTTGACTACCGAATGTACATGTGTTCCAATAAAACTTTAACTTACAAAACCAGATGGGGGCCAATTTGGACCAGAGGTCAGAGTTTGCCCATCCCAGATCCAGGTGAACATTAAAGTCCCTCCAGCTTTTAGAATCTGTCAGATAATAAAGATCTAAAGAAAACCAGTAGCAGCGATGGAAAGGGAAGGATTTGGGTGACTGCTTTGATTTGAAAGGGTGCGGTATGGGAGAGGTCACAGTGACCTTCAGGTCTCAAGGCAGGATAAATGGATGTGGATAGAAGGACTGGAAGAGAAATCCAGTCTCAGCAGGAAGATGGGAAATTCGGTTTCAGACACAGGTACTGAGTCCATAAACACAGAAGCAGACACGGAGTCACTAAGTTAGAAATGCCGGAGTTTTGAGAAATTTCGCTGTGATGAGTAAAATCTCCAGGGTCAGAGCATTGACATTTCTACCCACCATTTCCCCTACTCAACCGAACAGGTCCGAAGGAGAATGTGTGAGGCTGCCTGTTTCACAGCGCCACCTTGTGGCCGGCCCCCGCGTCTCACCTGGTAGAGGAACCTTTGGCTGAAGTGCTGCATGGCGCCCTGGAGCTGGTTGCGTTGGGACTGCCACTGCTCGTAGTTCCGCACGTACTCGGCCGTGGGGCGCTGCCACGTGGTGGTCCGGGTATTGTGGTCCACATAGTAGAACCTGCCTCGGGGGTCTGTGCGTTTCTCCCAGCTGAAAACATCAAGCTCCGAGTGAACACGGTGACCACCTTACCCCTATGCTCACAAAGAGAAATTTCGGGCAGGCTGGCAAGGAGGATGGCAAATAAAGGTCTGGTGTAGAGTCTGGCCCAGGAACTGGGCTGCTCCAGGGAGGCAGAGCCAGGTGGGGCCCAGTCTTGGAGGCTTTGGGGGCCATGATGATTCTAACAGAATCATCTGTTAGATGTTAGATGATGTTAGAATCATCTGTGGTTGCCCCTGCAGCAACCAATATCTTTTTTTTTTTTTTTACATTTAAAGATAATGTGAACTATTTTTAAAGTCTTTATTGAATTTGATACAAGACTGCTTCTATTGCTTATGTTCTGGGTTTTTGACCACGAGGCCTGTGGGATCTTAGCTTCCTGACCAGGAATCGAACCCACACGCCCTGCACTGGAAGATGAAGTCTTAACCACTGGACCACCAGGGAAGCCCCAACCAACCTCTTCTACCAGCAGCCCCTGAATTCCATTTCAGAGATCCAAGTGGTTGTGGGGCAGCTGACTATACTCCTGACTCTGGAGTTGAATGGCTGACTGGACCGGGAGTGGGCATGTGACCTATGTTGAACCAATCAGGGTGAATCTCATAATTTTTAGTACTTACAGTGGGAAAAATATAGTCTTCCTTGCCAGATGTAATTTAGAAAGCATGTAGTCCTGGGACTGGCTAACATCCTAGACCCAAACCCAATATGAAGTTGACCCAGTGGATGGCAGAGCAGAAAAAATGGGGGAAAAAAGCCAGTCCCCTGGGGATACTGTTTGAATCACTGGATCATGGTTCCCTTGAAACCAGGATCTATGTCTAGAATTCTCAGGATCATGAGGCAGTGAAATCTCTTCATTATTCAAGCCAATTTGGATCCCAATTTTTGTTCCTTGCAACTGAAATTGTCCTGACATAAGATGCCAGCAAAAATATATTGACTGGTCATAGGAAGAGTTGGTGTAAAAGACAGTAGGACTCTCCACATTATCTTTAGTGAGGAAGCGATCTTCCAAAGTTGGCCCTAAAATATCCACAGGCAAGGCAGGGCTAGAACAGGGAGTGAAAATTCTCAGCTGTGCTTGGTAGGTGTAGCTTGATTTCCACGTATATGGTGAAGAAGTGATCAAAAGAAAGTAAGAAAGGGAGTTCTGCAGGGTGACAGAAATGTTTTACATTTTGATGGAGTGTGCGTGACATGAATGTATGCATTTGTCAAAACTCAGTGAACTGCATAACAGAGGTCTGTTTATCTCACTGTGTGTAAATTATATTTCAATTTTTTTTAATGAATTTGAATCTAATTAAGCCTCCACATCTAATGACCAGTTTGTCAGGAAAGATAAGGAATAAAGGAGCATGTAACACAACACCAGGAATCACAATCAGCCACATTCATTATGTGAGAATTTCTACATGACAGATGTCCAAGATCTTCAACAAACATATAGTCATTAAAAAAAAAAAAAAAGAAAAGGTTGAAGGAACTTACAGATTAAGAGAGACTTATGAGATTATCAGCCAAAAGCAATGTGCTGATCTTGAGTTTGGATCTGATTCAAACAAATCAAGTGTGAAAATGTTTTTAATACAATTGGGGAAAACGAAACACAGACTGCATGTGACATGCAGTAAGGAAGTCCTGCTAATTATGTTGGGATAATGGCATTCTGATTTTTTTTTTTAATCTCATCTGTTAGAGACGTATGTGGTGTATTTATAGATCAAAGGATAGGATGACTGGGACTTGCTTGACAATTCATCAGTCGCCTCCCCTGAAGAGTGGGAGGTCAGATGAAACAAAATCTTACTAACTGTCAGAACCAGGCCATGGTTACAAGGGAGTCATTGTACTATTCTCTCAAATTTGGTATATGCCTGAATTTTCCATTATAAGTCTGAAACGAGAAGGGGGAGAAAAGGTGTTTCAAGAAGATAAGATGGAGATACTACTGAAGAAAACAGGATTCACCCCGTGCAAAAGGAACCCACAGTGGATTACACTGGATGATTCCAAAGTGTCAGAGGGTCTCTGTTCCCTGACTACCTTCTCACACCATCGCTGAATTCTGATCTTACTCACAAGACTATCATGCTTTGGGCTGACTGATACTTTCCTCAGCTTTCAGGGTTAGCCTCCTAGCTGACTTTTGCTGCCACCTCTTCAATGATTCTTTCAAACTGAAAACCTCCCCAAAAATGGCTTCTCTTCACCTCCCAAGGCCCGTTCCTGGATTGTGCATGGATTCCGCCTGCTGGACTGCCTTGCTCTCACGACCAGCCATCACCCTGGATTCACCTGAGCGCCATCCTCTCGCCCCACACCTGGATCGTCCACAGTCTTCCTCCCATCAGTCCTCCGCCCAGAAACGCAACCGCACCATCATTCCTGACTTTCCCTTTCCCTCTGATGTCAGTGAGCCGCTCAGCCCCAGGGCTTCTTTTTATTTCGTCTCCCTGTCCTTGACTTTCCATTTCCAAGTCCAAGTATCCTTGAATGAACCTTCCCATGCAATCCAGCCCATAAACTGCCATCAGGGTAACCCCAGCAGACTGACCCTTTATGAAATGCTGGAGTCAAAATGTCAAATTAATATTTAAGGCTCACAATAACCTGGAACCTTCCCACCTTTCTCATAAATACTCCAAACGGGTGATCTTTATCTATTTTTATTTGTTAGCAAAGGACTCATGTATCTATAGTTTGAAACAAACAGTACTATGGGAGAGACAATGAAAACCAGTGTCTCCTGCCCTCCTTCTCCCCACTGCTGAATTCTGCTCCCCGGGGGCACAATTACCTTCAACTCTTGATTGTATCTTCTAAACAAATGCTTACTCCATAATTTCTTGATTTCTGCCAAGTCAGAGATTACTATGGACTTGCCACTATCGAAGCTGAAGAATTAGTTCTTGTACCCTACCGGCTAACACACACAAAGCTCTCTCCTTTCCTGTCCTCCCAATTTAGAAAAGCATCATTAAATCAATATTTGGGGTTTTGATTATAACTTTGTAGAATACTATACATACACATCCTTACTTGTACAACTTTTTCTCTAGAGTTAAGAACTGCATGTTTTATTCGGCTTGGACTTCAAGGACCTGCCACTAATTCAGCCCCAGACTCTGACAGAGCAGGTGCCACCCAAGGTCACTTAACTCTTGGCCTCATCTGTCCAGCACCCTTTGTCTGAGGCAGACAGTTGTTCTCCAGGCCTGCTTTACTTTCCTGTCCTAAGTCATCCTCTTTCATCCTCCTTTTGGCCCCTGAGCTAAGTCAGTCTCCTGTGTCCTGCATCTCATGATTTCTTTCTCTGTTTCCTCTTGTCTGGTGAAAGAAAACAGCTAGGAGTTTCTGAGAGAGGATGGACCAAAGTTAACTTTTTTGAAACCCTGCATATCTGATGATGGCTTTGTATCAATCCTCACATCTGAGTGCTAAAACGTCTAAAAGTTGATTTCTGGATTTGCTCAGCTGTTTCACTAAAAGATCATCAAATATCATGATCTGCCGTTTTCTGCCCTTAGACTGGTCACTGAAAGAAAGTGAAAGGGAAAATCGCTCAGTTGTGTCCAACTCTTTGTGACCCCATGGGCTATACAGTCCATAGGATTCTCCAGGCCAGAATACTGGAGTGTGTAGCCGTTCCCCTCTCCAAGGGATCTTCCCAACCCAGGGATCGAACCCAGGTTTCCCTCACTGCAGGCAGATTCTTTACCAACTGAGCTACCTGTCACTACCCCAGCAAAAAAAAAAAAACCAACTTTCCAATCTTTTCCCTGAGGATAGCATTCTCAATCCCTGTTTCCTGAGTTCATCCCTGCCTTCAGCTATGACCATGCTTGCCACACTGGTTCTGTTCCACCAGGAACTTCTTACACTAGCAGCAGCCATGTGGCTGCATGAGTGTAAGTGTGCACACATGCGTGTGGCGGGGGGTTGGGAGTGACGGCTGACAACCTAGGAATCTAGCTGCTTCCTGCACAAGTGTTAAACTTCAGGTTTTTAGTCTCGTTACGCATAACACATTCACACACACATACCCTATATGTCCCTGACGGTTGAGGCTTTCTAGGGCTCCATGGTGCAAACTGGCTGCCTTTTGGGTGGAAACCCCACACTGGAAGCTTGCGTTTCAGTTTTCTCAGCTCGACCATTTATCCATCAGCAACTAAACTTTGATTACAATCTCCCATGTGCTTTTTCTCCTCTTCCATGCCTTTATCATTATACTTTTTAAAATAACTTTTACTGCCATTTTAGTGGGTTTTCAAGAAGGAATGGAAATAAACATGTTTGATCCATATGTCCTCTGCACTGGTAAATTTCAGACTGTCAAACAGAATAATCACACCCTTGATAGCTGGTGAAATCTTACGCAGAATTACAATCGATAAAAACATAGCAGCAGTTTGAGGCCCTTTCGTGCTGTTCGATTCCAGGGGGCAACTGCACCAAACCCAAGGGCCTTACTAGACACACTTTGGTCATCTCTGTTTCAAACAAACCCTCCACTCCACCAAAATTGCCCCATGCATCATTCCCTAAATATACCTTTCACATTCACACTGTTCCCCTAACCTGGATCACCTTCCTCTTTTCACTGAAGTCCACCCCCAGCCTTTCCTAAAGACCAAGTTGGAGTCCTCTGTGACAGTGGTCCCCAACACCATGCTCTACAGTGCCTACTCCCCCTGCTCACCTCTGGTCTGAGAACCACCTAAAAGTGTCTGAAGAAAAACCATTGCACTCATCCTGAATTACCAGGTCCAACACTTTTTGCTCCTGGATAAAATGACTGGTTGCTTTTTTTTTTTTAACTGAGACCTAATTGACAGGTAACATTATAATAGGTTTAAGTTTTATCTTTACAACATAAAGATTCAATATTTGTATATATTGCAAAATAATCACTACAGTAAGTGTAGTTAACATTTGTCACTGCACATGGTTACAATTTTTTTTTTTCCTGTGAAGAGAACTTTTAAGATCTACTCTTAGCAACCTTCAAATATGTTATATGGTATTATTAAGTGGCAAGAGCTTTTGTAAGCTATGAACAAGTTAGAACAATATGCATTTCAACCTTTATTCTGACTAGAATGATGACTCTCAAAGTGAGGATAAAACATGTAAACAACTGGCCTTTATACAAGAGTCCCATCGGTGAGACGGGGACGGACAACAATGTGGATCTTCCGGCGCAGTCTTGCTCCTGGGTGACTAGGAGCGCTGACACGACGCAGTGGCTCCATCTGTAGTTTCAAGACTGGTCTCACCATGGTAACACTTCCCTCGAGCAGAACTTCTCCCAGTAATTAGCGATGAAAGCTTGCCCATTCTCTTCTTTCCAGGTTCCCTATCATATCGTAGAACTAAATGCCAGGAGTTCAAAGGGCCTAAAACTCAGGAAGAACTCATGGGCCACAGAGGGCACAGAGCTGAGCTGATAAAACATTACAGGGCTTTCCTGGTGGTCCAGTGGTTAAGAATGCACCTTGCAATGCAGGAGACTCCAATTCGATTCCTGTCTGGGAAGATCCCACGTGCCGCAGAGCAACTAAGCCTTCACATCACAAGCACGGAGCCTCATGCTGCAACTGCTCAAGCCCGAGCGCCCAGGGCCTGTGCCCCACAGCAAGAGCAGCCCACGCCCGTCACAACCAGGGAAAGCCCACACGCAGCAACAAAGACCCAGCACAGCCAAGAATAAATAAATGAATCTTTTTCTAAAAAAAAGTCATTATAACTATCTTGAAAATAAGAAAGCTGGCTCTAGTATCCCACCTCAACACTTAAACAAGAGTAAACCCTCAGCCATTCTTCGAAGACTCCATTAAATATCTTCATTTAGATTTCATCATATGTTCACCAGGTCAAGGCTCCCATAACTTAGAAACCAGAGAGGTTAAGAGGCAAGCAACCAACAGATTTAAAGAGTTATATGTGCTGTAAACACACAAAGTACAAGTGTGTAACACATCCTGTTAAAAGTTGATGATTAATTGATGAGACAACTAGAGAAATCTGACTACTACCCAGAAATCTGACTCGGTATTTGATGGTAGTAGGTAAACACTTAAAAATACAGTGGTTTTACTTTTAAAAGAGAACATCTTTTAGACATGTATACTGAAATTTGGATAAAATAATATGATGTCTGGGATTTGCTTCAGAATAATCTAAGATGGGGTGGGGGAGGGGTGAACGAGGATGACAGAGCAGGAGTGAGCAAATGTCTTCTACAAAGGGTCGCAAAGTAAATATTTTAGTCTTTACTGGCTATGCAGTCTGTGTCATAATTACTCAGCTCTCCCAATGAGCACAAGAGCAGCCATGGACCACAAGTAAACAAATGAGAGGGGCTATGTCCCAATAAAACTTTATTTATGAAAACAGGTGGCAGGCAGATTTTGCCAACAGGTCCACAGTTTGCCAACTCCTGGTACAAATGAAACAAGGATGGCCTTGAGTTGATAATTATTGAAGCTAGGTGTTGAGAGTGTGGGGATTCTTTGTGCACATTTGAAAACTTCAATATGAACATTTCTAGAATTTCCATAATAAAATGTTTAATTCTTTTTCTAAGAAGTCAACGTTTAACTTTGATAAGTTCCTTGGACTTTAAATCAAAGGAGAAAACAGGGACTTCCCTGGTGGTCCAGTGGTTAAGAAGCCACCTTGCGATGCAAGGGATGCAGGCTTGATCCCTGATTGGGGAACTAAGATCTCACATGCCGTGGAACAACTGAGCCCGGCACTCCAAGTAGGGAGTCTGTGTGCTGCAACGGAAGATCCCGTGTGACACAACTAAGACCTGACACAACCATATAAATAAATATTAGAAAAAATAAAATAAATGAGGTTTCCTTCATTTAAGAAAAGAGAAGGGGGAGCCGTGAGAACTAAGGATGGTGGACCATGAGTGCGATTTCCAGGACAAGAAAGGAAAGGAAAACACAAGCATTCTACTAGGGAAACTGAAACTAGAAGCAGTCCATGCATGGAAACTTGTAGGACTGGGAAACGAGTTGGTTATTTGCCCAGCACATGCCTGACAGGTGAACAAAACGAAGCACAGGGTTCTCCCTGCCCACTCTGACATCCTCTCCCTCCACCAGCTTTGGAGGAGGAAGTCAGCATTCATGTTCTGCGTAGCAGGCCTTCAGGGCTGCTCTACTGGTGATTCTTTCCTGAGAGCAGAATACATTCCCTTTCGAAAGTTCTTAGGACTGGGAGACACATGTGGAAAGAACTTTCTGTCCCTGGCAGACAGGGAACCAAACCCCTTCTCCTTGAACTTGGACAGTCTTCCCTTACTTGGAAGCCTCACTTATCCTTGGGTTTTGGAGAACTTCGCTGCGTTCTCACAAAGCCCAGCCGAATGCAGCAGCACACTGTCTCCAGGGGCTGGCGGGAGGCAGGGCGCTGCGAAACTCATCAACACCCTATCTACGCTTCCTTGTGCACGCTATTCCCCCCATAGATGCTCTAAATATCCTATTATGTCCTAAGAAATGAGAACAGAATTAAAGTGGGTAGGAAAAGCAATTAAGGGACCCAGGATAAATGTCCCTATACTTTGCTATGTCTGCTGAAACTGAAAACTGCACCCTATAGGTTATTTCTGCAGGTGAGATGTCTGAAGCTACAGAGAGACCAAGAGCCTCAGAGGCCTCCCAAGCCTTCCTTCCTCCAGAACCCAACAGTCATGGGGCTCTGAAAATCACGTAAGAAAGCCCAGGGCCAGGGGACTACATTGGTGGTCCAGTTGCTAAGAGTCCATGCTCCCAATGCAGGGGGCCTGAGTTTGATCCCTGGGCACGGAACTAGATCCCACATGATGCACCTAAAAGATCCCACGTGTACCAGAAAGATCGAAGATCCTGCATGTCACAACAAAGACCCAGTGCAGTCAAATAAATAAATAAGAAAAAAAAGAACTCCCATGGCCAAGGCAACGAATGGAGGGAGAAGGGAAAGTAGAATGAGAGAGCCGAGACCACAGAAGAGGAGGACTATGGGAGGAGGGGAAAAGAGAGAGAAAGGAGAGAGTGGGGGAAATAAAGAGATGATCGTGGCAGAGTGGTGGAGAAGCCAGTGGGGGACTCGGTGTCAGCTCTAGGGGCTCAATGGTCCAAGTCTTACCCTGGAGGAAGAGGCCGCTCCCAGGTGGTGGTCTTGGTGTTATGGTCAACATAATAGACACGCCCGTTGGGGAGCTCTCGCTGTTCCCATCTGCAAAATAAAGTCAAGGGAGGCATGAGACAGGCTGGTGAAAGGCCTAAGTCCTGGTTCAATGGGGTCCTTCACTACTGATGTGACTAATTTGACAGGACACATCAAAGACAACATGCAAGACCAACCTGCTGGTCAGACCAGCTCCACGCCGTCCCTGACAATGGGACCCACGCCTGCTTCTTGAGAAAACTATGAGAGCTCCCCTTTATGGACTCAAGGTTATTAGATATCCCACAGATAGTGCTAAATTCCCCTATATAACCCCTATGAATCTACATTCCCATGGATTTTTCCAAATCACTGTTTACTGGCCATTTTGGGATAAAAGATTCTTTTAGGGAGGTAATAAAAGCTGAAGACTCCTTGCCTGCAAAATGCACTTACCAACAAAAATATGTGCAGTTTTGGGGATTCACAGACGCCCACACCTAAAGTTCACCCGTGGACCCTCCAGCCTTTGTAACCTATTACCTCTCAAAGTCACAAATCATACAATTCCCCTTGTTCTCCTAGCATCATATATATTCAAGATCACATTTCTTTCTAAAATATAGGACTCCTTTACAGAGGGTCTTTAAAAGAGATCTGGATGAACCAAGAAACACAGTAAATTGCTATTTATTGGCTGTTCCACCCGTCTGTGTGTGTGAGTGCTAAGGGTGGCTCATCTGTGCCAGTGGCAGAAAGACAAGGTAGCAGATGATCCAAACAGTGGATCCAAAAGGCAAAATCACCACAAAATACAGACAAAGACCACCCATCCCCATACTCCTGTTATTCCCATATTCAACACAGTCTGACAGTAACTCCACTGACCTAGAATACAGTAACCTACATATAAGGGATGCAAAGACTTATTTTCATTTATAAAATGATTACCATTTTATAAAGGATGCGAATGGCCCCTTAGTCTTTATGTTTCACACTGATTTTATCTACTTCTACTTTTGGGTACTGCCAGGAGGAAGGTGGCACAGTCAGCTCTGCTGAAACGCCTATTTTGAAGACACAGGTCTATGCCAGTGTGATCTGATACTTATGGGAACAACGTGAGTATGATGTGAATTTTGTGCTTGCTGTGCATGTATTTGTCTTCTAAACATACTATATGAACACAGAAGACTTCCCTGGGCTGAACCCAGTAGTGTAGGAACACAAAAAACCACACACATCTACCGGCTACCTCACTTTGGGACACGCTATACATCGCACTCACCCACATCTGGTGTTACAACTCCCGTCTTCCTGTACCACAGCACGACAACACTCAGTAAGTTCTAATCCTCAGGTACCTGCTTCCACAAGCAAACTGCAGTTCTTCTCATGGAATCCTGCATCTTTACTGTGGTATTATGATCTCAACCATTTAACATGTGTAAAACTGTGCTACTATGCTATTACATTCTTGTTTGTGTGTGTGTCACTGACAAATTTTTGTCTGTTATGTCCTTAACCCATTTCTTCCCATAAACCCTGTTTTTTGCTGCATGATTTGGCATAGCATGGTGATTTCTAGGAACACATATGTTATAGCAGAGAGTTGACTGTATACTGAAATAAATGTCCTAACTTCTATCACTAAGCCTGGTGTGTCTACTCAAATAGATATGAGCTTTATTTAATACCGTTTCTCACATCTGATCAGTGGACAGCACTGATGAGCCCCTCTGAGGCTAATTCAGATAGAAATACATGCAAGGTTTTCAAAGCAAAAATGGGAAGGGGTAACCATCACCTGCTGAGCATCCACAATGAGTTGCAGGCTCGTGTTTTACCTCATTCAGTCCTGCCTCCATGCTTTAAGGTGGGACATGCCATCACCATCAAAGAAACCAAGGCTCAGAGGGGCTAAATAACTCAGCTCAGACTCTCTAGCCTATGAGTTTTACCATGGCCCCCTGAAAGGAAGAAAGGAAGGGCAAGTGGAACTTATAAGGAACCCACAACCCAGCAGACAAGGTGCCAGGTGCCTTTCTGCCACCCACCTCAACGTGAACAGTTCTCCCTAGCACAGGAGTCTAGGTAGGGGGCCCTGCAGGATCATGACGACTGGGGAGAAATTACAGTAAATCCACCTCACTCATTTCTAGGCTCCATTTATAATCACAAACCCCTGCTCAGATATCATCTATAGGAAGAGGCTACACACCCTGCACCACTAGGAGGCTTCCCCCAGGGAGCACTGAGGTCTGCTTGTTCCACATTCCCTCCTCTCAAAAGGGATCCACTACTGGTTTGAGGACCAAAGTGCTACAAACACCATTAAAATGTCCTCAAGGACATGTGTTCTCCTGGGTATTCCTGCTCCCTGGGGCTTCCCTGTAGCTCAGATGGTAAAGAATCTGCCTGCAAAGCAGGAGACCCAGGTTTGATCCCCAGGTCAGGAAGATCCCCTCGAGAAGGGAATGGTAACCCACTCCAGAGAAACCCATGGACAGAAGAGCCTGGCGAGCTACAGTCCACGGGGTCGAAAAGAGTTGGACACGACTGAGTGACTAACACTATATTACATGTTCCCACTCCAGCTTCTGGTTGAAGCACCTGTCCCAAGTGCCCTGGCTCCTTCCATTGCAAAAGGAAGATCTATGCACTTTAATTGGTATTTTATTAAAAGGGCATAACTAAAAGATCCCGCATGCCTTAACTATAGACCCCGAGTGCTGCTACTAAGACCTGGCATAGACAAATTTAAGAAAAAAAAAAAAAGGAGCAGGGGGGAGAATCTTCTGGCAAAAGTGATCAGGTGAAAAGACACACAGGATGAAGTTAAAGTTCTTCTCCCTCTCGATGCCCTCTTGAATTAAAGATAAAAGAGTAACAGATATTGAAGTTCAAGAGGCTAGTGTCCCATCTCTAGGGATCAAGTAGGGAGTTTCAGCCACAAATGAGGCTAACATAGAGTGACTTCACACCACCTCTCCAAATTCCTCCTGTCTGCTTGGTAATCAAGCAGCAAATCTGATACTCTCTTTATTCATCTGAATTTGGAAATAAAGTAAGTCTTGGGAAAGATACTTGGCTTAAGGATAAGTACTGAAATACGGAAGCTCCTCAAGGCAAGGGTAGCAAACCACTCTTTCGTAACATTTGCTCCTAATAAAGATTTAAGGAGCCGAGAATTCCTCAGCATTTCCTAAGAAATTAGCTCTATCCTTCTGGTCCTTGGCAATTCCGTGGCACAAAAGCCCCAATAAAACAACTTTGCTCATTTTGCAGTCACTGTTTGGAAAACTGACCATAATAGGCGGGTGGGGCTGTCCCTTGAATAAAGACAAAATATGTGTTGTTGTAGTTGGAGAGAAAAGGTGCTAAGACACATTTTTCTTTATTCCAACAATTCTTTTGTTATAACTCTCATCTCATAAGTGGTCTCAACTTCTGGCTTCTTTTCTATTTCATTTGAGGCAAGGAGAGAACTTTGGTTTTATTATACTTTGACTACTATTTTCATTTGAAGAAGGGACAGTTCTTAAAATTCCATGAAGTAAATGCCTTTAGCTGACACAGTGGTCTCCCTGCACTGTCAGGAAGGAGATCGGCGTGAAGTCCTCTTTGCTCATATTCAAGAGTTATGGCGGCGCCTCCCAAGCCTAGACGAGACCTGTCTATCCTGTCTTTGATCCCAGTTGATCCTTAGAAATGAAAGACTCTCTTTTGGGCACTATTATTGTCCAGTGAATCTCAGTGTCCTTCTATGAACCCTCTCAATTGGCTTAGCTAGAAAAATAGTTACCAAGAGGAATAAGACCTTTCTTCCATTACTTTTCCTTTTTTTTTTTTTGATATCTACATTCTTCCTTTTAAAATTGGACTCCTGCTCGGATTAAATGTCCATATGAGCCCTCCCTGATCTGTGACCTGGCCTAGCTGCTTTTCCTAGAGAACTCTCAACTCCTCCCTACCTGCACGGCTCCTCAGAATTCATACAAATCCCTCCCCTCCATTCCTGTGGCAGAGTCGGTCGAATCTATCGTCAATCAAACGAGCCTCCCGATTCTCCTCTCCCCTCTGTAGCTGCTGACCCACATAGATTAAGCCTTCTGACTATCTTGGTTTGGTCTCCCCATGCCAAGAAAGTGATACTGGCAGCGACCTTTCATCAGCGCATCCCTGGCAGGGGTTAGGTTTCTGAACCTTACAAGCATCTTCTTCATGCTGAGATTAAAAGGCTTTTCAATGAAACTACCCATGGGTCTCGATACTGCATCCTGGTCACGTGGGTCACATCCTTTCCCACTGAATAGCTTTCTTTGATGCTCTCAGAAACAGTGTTCAAAAGCCCAAGCTCAATTCAGGTCCCTTCCCAACACATTGCTCCTTGGCCTTCAATGCGTAACATTCAGTTGGACCATGGACTACACAGGGTCTTTCTATTTGAAAGGACTTAAAAAACAGTCTCCAGTTTCAATTAATCTCTGTACTTTTTAAAAAAACCTAAATTCCCTTTGCTCCTATGGATTTTAACTGTCCTTTATTCAGTTTGTGATAGGGAAGAACACATCTGACTCCATACTAGACCTGTTTCTTTTAAACTTTGTGTGCTTAGTCATGTTGGCTCTGCACCTTTTGTAAAAGAATGATACCTGTAGTCTGAAATATACAGGGTAGCTCATTCTCAAGGTTCTAACCTTTAAGAGTCCACTCATATAAAAAGGTTCAGAACAGAGAATAGTATTTGTCTTGTTGGAGGTTTATAGGAACATCATGACCTGACCTACGTGGACAGCTGCAAACACAAAGGGTTCCAACACCAAGAAGTCTGCAACAGCTAACCACGTCCTTTCCTCACCTTGCCTTCGAAAGTGCTTGGGGAGTTTGGGACTTTAGGGGGCACAAGTCACCCATCTTCTTGTATGGTTCTGCAATAAACCTTTCTCTGCCCTCCAAACCACAACATTTAGGTATTGTCTGGCCTCACTGTGCATCAAAAACACAACCTTGTGTTTGGTATTAATAACAAAACAAGTTGTATCTCTTCCATGCCCCAGTTCTCCCCC